CACAGCGTTCATAATGTCAAAACAATAACTCAAAACTTTCTTTCACAATGTGAATACGTGTCTGGAAGCAACGTTGCTAAAGATTCCAAAGAATAACTTCAAGTGTTGTGGTAACTTTAACTCAGTATACAGATGTTCATAGCCTGCTTTGGAACAGCAACTAAAACTATCAAACTTTTAGTAAACTTAAGAATTTGTAATATCAAAATTATCATAAATAAAATGAACATGTTTGCGATAATACACTTATACATAATTAAATTTCCAATTTATTCATATACTTGTAGCTGTATACAATTATTATGCCTTAGACACAATATCATCTGAAACTATTTATGTTGCTGTTAGTTCAATAACGCTATATAGAAATCAGTTAATTTTGACAATTATCACCAACTCAGTAATACTTTCTTGATATAAAGTTTAATCAAGGAAATTAAGTGACTTCTCTCTTTCATAATAACTAATTTAGTTTCCCCATTATTCCTATATCATGTGTATATTCTTCTTTAAAAAAGATAAATTGCCAACTTCAGGCACTTGTATTGAATAACGATTCTGCCAAGTGTATCGGTTAAACCTTACATACAGCCTTATATAATCCAAACCAGTATTTTATGCAAATTAACCACTTATGTATATTCCCTCTAAGCTTTAATTTGTTTGCTTTTCGAAAGGATGAAAAGCAAGTTAAACAGCCACTCCTTACACGTATCTTACTATTCAGTTTTGTACCAAGTGTCCTGAATTGAATTTTCTCCGACTATTCTAACTTTTCACTGGTTGTTTACAGTTTTCTTTAGAGTCCCATTCCTGCAAAACCCCTTCAAACAACGAGGCCTTTGTTGCTGAATTCAACGCAAACTAATCTGACGGTCAGCAGAGCTTTTCTTTTGTGAAAGTTCAAATATTATTTGCAAGTCTACACGAATTTTAAATAATTTACTTTTGAGGCTAGCTTTTCCAATTTACATCATCTCTGTCACGTAATGCCCCCTCCACTACTTGTGTAACTGATACATAATAACAGTATATAACACATCCCGCTACGAAAAGTCGAATCATTTGATATCAATGAAATAGCCGTTATACAATTTCCCCTGTTTTTTCTATTAAAATAAAAATGTATACGCTTTTTAAAGAAAATACAAATAAAAGGGATGATCATGAAAACCAACAGTTACACATAATGATGAGGATTATAATAATAATAATGATAATGAAATAAAAATAATGTTATCATTATTATTTGTGTTGTTATTATCATTATTTTTTATTATTTTATCATTATTATTATTATCATTATTATCATCATCATTTTTATATAAATAATTACTACATAAAACGTAAGGTACGCGTGAAAATTTGTGACATAATAAAAAGTGTTGGATATAAAGGATGAAACTTCTCTTCTTCACCATTACCATGGTTACACTGGCTTTAGTCAAGCTAAAGGCTTTCATTAGATACACTTCCTACCAGGTAGGATTCCCTCTGGGCTGAGAGTAGCATATATGGATTAATGTAAAGGAAAGGACACTACTACGACTGGGACTACAATCGCGAAAATTTTAGTCTATCCCATGACATCTCAAAAATATTAGCACATCATTTCTTTAAACGTTGAATATGGTTAAACAGTTCATAAATTTGGCTTCTCCACTTTAACTTGAGGGGGGGGGGGGCCTCTTTCCAAAGACAACGCAACGAAAGGCTGGGTTTAATTATTTCTTGAACAATAATATTTGACTCGTCGTAAACTAATTTCCGAGTATAAATTCAAATAGAATATACTGCTTTGACGTCATAGCGTGGGCGATGATGTTCAAGTTTTAATAAAAGTTTCACAAAGTCATCCTTCGGTTTTACGGACTTTGAGCGGCTTTGTGACCATACAAATCTCCCGGTGAACAAATAATGTAATGATATAGGCTGAATGGCAGACATTACATGAACGTTAAAATGAAGAAGAAACAAAATTAAAGAAAACCACATTCAGGATATAGGCTGCAGATTCAGTGATGTTTGTACACAATTTATTTTGACAAAAAAAGTTATGTTGTTTGTTGCAGCGATGACGCAAAACATTGTGAACAAGATAAATGTATTCCAAGAAAGGAAAGTTTTCTTTCTTGCTACATTGTCGAATAGAATAAACTCCATGGAAGCAACATGAAGCGAACTCATCTCATCAAAATAAAAAGTAATATATAAAAAGGTGAGTCGATGGCGTATCGACTGATCGAAAACTTTATACACAGAGAGCCCAATGTAAATGATATATTGAGATAACAACATTACATCAAAATGTAATTTCTTTTAAAAAATAGATACAAAGTAGTCTTCCATGATCAAGTATATATCTTACTGGAAAAAGAGAAAGAAATATTTTTCAAGAGCTATAACTGCTTCTATTTTTGGATACATGTGAAATATATACAATAGGTGACATGCTGGTATTGACATGCAACGTATGACTTTTGATGGGATAAAGTCCTCATGGCATAACAATGATTGCACGTCCTAACATGATATTTTATGAGCATGAATTGTACTTTTAGACCCAAATTGAGTAGTGTGTGTGTGCGCGTGTGTATTACGGGTGTGTGTCTGTATGTGTTTACTTGTATAAACATGAATACACGTAGGCTTATATGGAGCGAGAGAGAGGGAGAGAGAGAGAGAGAACTATATATTGTTGAATTTCCACTTGAATTTAAATTGAACAAAAATGGTTATGAATGAAAGGGAAATATCAACCTACTGACATTTTACAAAACAAAAACGCAGATATTTAGACCATTCTTATCAAAGAGGAAATAAATTTATCATATTCAAGGAAAAGACAAATTTTTATGTAGCTTATTATAAATTCCAAAAATCATCTCCAATATTTGTTCACTGCATCTATTTGGATGGAGGGCCGCATAATGAACTCTACGAGATATTTGAATCAAACTGCGTCACTTAAAAAAAAGGTAGAACAATCGTGAGTGAACAAATTATTTATATTTGTACCGGACAAATCAAACAATATCCCATTCATAAAAACACATTGTATTGATGTGAATGTTCTTACCGAAAACATGCCCTTTGGAATGTTTACCATAGAGAACGGTTGAGTTTACATTCGTTGATTCATTTATTTCACTTGTGCCATGACTGTACTCGGTAAACCTCCAGACACAGATAGACAGGGAACCAGGTTTATCTTTAGTAGAACAGCCAAAAGTATAAATTAACATGTAAAAGAATGAGAAGGATACGAAGCGAAATGAGTAGAAATAAGAGGGAAGGACAAGGAGGAGAAAATAAAAGGACGTAGGAAGATGATTACAAAACCCTCTCTAGCTCTCCTTCTCGTAATCTACAATAACGTGCAGACCAGATAAATCTTAAATTTAGGGAATTTTCTAAAAAGAACCCTTTTCAAATAAATAGTTTTTTGCTATTCGGTAACCAGATACCCTGAATATCTTAGAAAGTGATCAGTGCTCAGTGGCTGCCGGGCTCACGATCAATTGGGCAAAAAGAATTTCCGTTTCGGTTCAATACAATTTGGAGTGGACTATTATGCTATTATTATTATTATTATTATTATTATTATTATTATTATTATTTAAAATGTGTAAACCTATACTTTAGTGAAAAGGAGAGATACGTCAATATAATTATGTTCAGCTACTGATACTGATTCAAATCAACCAAATTTAATGGTGACCCCGAGAACGGGGGGGGGGGGGGGGGGGTGTTTCACTAAGCCCAAAATCGATCTAAAAATCGATTTGATCAATTTTGAGGGCCTAAAATTGATTTCGATTTTAGGAGCTGTTTCACTAAATAAATAAAATCGATTTTAGTTGATGAAACACCCCCCCGGATGTCGAACGGAGTAGTCTTTCTGATATACATGTAAAAAATGTTTGGAATAATGTCGAAAATAATCAAAAGGAAAATAATTACTTTAATCCAGGGAAGTGCAAGAGAGATTATATACCCAACATCAAACTCTTAGGCGTACCTGAAACAAACCATCTCCATATACATATTCATGTTTAAATAGATAGCCTTAAGTAAATGCCGTTCAAAAGGAGCCTATTCTGTTGGAAAGTATTTTGGAATTCAATGAATCTTGTCCTACATGATATGGACAAGAACGGTTATGAGAAATGACTTTCCCACTGCGCATGGGTAGTACAGATTGACGATCATATACAAATTAAAAACGTCATGTCAATGTCTTATGATTTTCCTTTATTTGTCCATATGTTATTGAATTTGCATTTATTTACTATTCGTTATAATTATACTGGTTATTCATTTATATTCGATGCACACTCCGATCATACTATTTAATTACACTTTTGACTGTTCCTTGTTTGTCCCCGCTCTGTTAGACTTTCAATATTGTATTACCCTCTGGATTCTGGAACCTTAAACCCACAAGATATGCTTTCACCTTAGCAGACTCCTTCGTGTCCTCATTTCCAGCTTTAAATGCATTGTTTAACAATGTTTCCAGTTTTACAAATCTGAGATGCTTGGCCCTACGTTATATCAGTGCCTATGATCTTGTGTAATATTGAAGCCCTAACATAAAAATTGCGCTTCAAAATGATCATGAAGTGCTTCAAAAAAGTAAAAATCTTTGAGTGGCCAGTTTTACCATACTCATTTCCCCCCAATAGATTGTAGTGCTATAAACAACCTTTGGGAAAACGGTTTTTGAAATGTCGATTTCCAATCATAAATATCTTGATAATCAGACAGGCGATCGGCTTGTATATAGTTCATTACTTGTGTTTATTGAAAACACATATGTATTATTATAATCATTATTATTTGTCTTGTAACCATAACTGACAATGTGTAAAGTGAAATGTGAAATAGTAATAAAAAAAGAACCCTTTTTAAATTCTAGTTGTGCCATTTTGTCTACTTTTTAACAGCATTTTATTTCATTTTTGTTTAATTCATATTTTTTTCTACAGCCTCAGCGCAAAGCTGTGAGGGAGTGAGCTGTCAGTTCGGAGAATGCATCGACGGGATATGTGTTTGCAACCCGGGCTACACCGGGGAAAGCTGCACGTCAGGTAGGCTATCACGTCAACAAATCCCACCAACCAAAATCAAACAATGCATGCAAATATAAAGACAAAGCATCGGCCACTTCCAAAGTATAAGGACTGACTAGGCAAACGAAAGTAGGTCACGTACAATTGCTATACACGGTATAACTCCTTAGATTCAGAGGTTACAGTAAATTTGTTTAAATTTCCACGGTCGTTATTCTCCCCCATATAGGCCTAATATAATGATGATGACCTTTCTTACTACTTGATCAACGAGTATAATAAGATCTGTCTGGAAAAACATGTGTATCCTGTAACTAAGATTGTAATAATCCTTGTCCAGTATAATGCAATATTTTAAGGAACGTATCATAACCAATTTAGTCTGCTGTAACCCAAGGTCTGTTTTCACTCAATCATTGAATATTATTATAATGACACATTCACATTCACACAATGACATTTAAAGGCTCAATATTGAAGATGAAGATGCAAAATCCATATCTCATCGATTGATTGTGAAAAATTGTGCTTATTGCCTTGTTGAATATAATATAAACGTAAGCGAAGACGCGTGAATTTGCCTCACGATAGTATTTGGATATAGGAGCAGTGACGTTTCTATAGGGAAAATGGCACCGGGTCAAACAACGAATTGCCCCCCCCCCCTACTAAACTTATGAGGTCAAAAATAGAAATGTCGCGCTTTTTCATAACGTGAAAGTTATATTTAATATATTAAACCCGAGAATTGTAATCACAGTTTGAATAACAGTTAAAGCGTGGTAGCAAAGCGACAAAGCAGTAGATATGTTTTAAAATTCCATCCTAAGAGACGCAATTTCTTGTGTAATCTACGTACAAACTTGTTTAAAGTAAATTAATGTATTGTTCTTATTATAGAATTTATAAGAAATATAAATTATATGACTTCTTTTATCTTCAAGTGACAAATTTAACTAGCTTTATTTGAGGGACTTAGCTATCATTTAGCTAGCCCATTAAAATTTAGGATATTTGGGTGCAAAATTCAACAAAATCCTGACGAAACTAACATGCTTGAAGGGAAGCCCTTTAAAGACGCTTGTTATGCAAAATATACCATTTTTGGTGCGAAACTACCAGATCCTAGAGAGTTATATGCGATAGAGCAGAGCGAATGAACTGTAGAAAATTTTCGAATTTTTAACCCTTCTAAAGCACACTTTTCTTTTGCTTTTTACCCTGGAATGGGGCGCATATAACCTTTTATAGGAACGGTAATTTACCTTCCTTTTTCTTCTCTTTCTCTTTCGTTCTTTTGCGTCCCCCTGCCTCCAAGTGCCGCCCGGGGTTAGTTCGCCCTCTGTACCCCCTTTATTTACCACTGGGTAGGAGTATCCATATCACCTCTTAACTTTCTTTATCCGTTTTATCCATGAAATTCAAATTCGAGTTAAAGGGCAGCTGATTTCAGATGAATAAATAATTTATTCATTCTTTTTTTGTCTTTCAGATCTCGACGAGTGCTTATCAAATCCTTGTATGAATAACGCGACATGTGCTAACCTCTTCAATCAATTCTTCTGTGACTGTCCGCAAGGGTTCGACGGAGAGACATGCCAAAATGGTAAGAGGGGGGGGGGGGGGGATTCATTACAGTTAGGGCAATTTTGTTTGTTTGTTTGATGTTTTTTTTTTCACGATGGTATACTTCAGCCAATGGCTGTTCTTCAGCATAGCCGTGCATATAAAAAGCAATCACAATTTTACAAAGAAACATACATTATAGATTTTCATGATTTACATACTAGCTAAGTTAAATAAAACATACACATAATACAAATAGGTTAGAAGGCTAGAAATCCAAACAAGCCCTAATTGTACTGTACCTTACAAACCACATGCACCTAAGACTTTTAAATTATATCTGATGATTGTATTAATTGCCCTACTAGAGCTTGTATCAGACCAAATATAAAATGAAAAGATACACAGTAACGTCAATATAATGTAAAGAAGAAGGGGAGGAGGTGCAGGAGGAGGAGGAGGAGGAGGAGGAGGAGGAAGGAGCGGAAGAAGAGGATGATGATGATGAGTAGGAGGAGGAGGAGGAGGAGAAGGAGGGGGAGGAGCTAGAGGAGGAGGAGGAGGAGGAGGAGGTACAGGAGGAGAGGAGGAGGAGGAGGAGGAGGAAGGAGCGGAAGAAGAGGATGATGATGATGAGTAGGAGGAGGAGGAGGAGGAGGAGAAGGAGGGGGAGGAGCTAGAGGAGGAGGAGGAGGAGGGGGAGGATGAGGAGGAGCAAGAGGAGGAGGAGGAGGAGGAGGAGCAAGAGGAGGAGGAGGAGGAGGAGGAGGAGGAGGAGGAGGAGGAGGAGGAGAAGAAGAAGGAGGAGGAGAATGAGGAGGAGAAGGAGGAGGAGGAAGGCATTACAATAACAAATAACAAAATAACGTTGAGCTGTTATGTCCTGATAATCTTACAGAGACCGGTCCATGTCGGAACAAGCCATGTGTGAACGGACTTTGCACTGATCAGTTTGGAGGAGGGGAAGCTTTCTACACATGTGAATGTTACCCTGGTTGGGAAGGTGATAACTGCGAAACAGGTACGCTCACTAAAATATTTAATCATACTATTGCCAATAAAGTTGGAATAATATTCCTTACCCCTTTTTATGAAATGATCGTGACAATATGGTTTATTCTTGATCGATAAGATGTAAACTTTATTCATCAAGAACAAACCATATTGTCACGATCATTACATGAAAAGAGGTAAAAAACTGTTCCAACTTTATGGGCAACAGTGTTTTATGCTCGGAAAACGAAAGAAAAATAATAAGGGATTCGTGTGTGTATTCCATGCAATATTTCATCAATTTGATATTAAAGCGCAATAAAAATAGTTGTAAAGTATACAATTCACTTCACTTTTTGTTAAAACATGTTAACAGCTGAACACACAATAATTATTGACAACAAATCTAGGTTGGATTCCACACTGATAGAAAGTGAAGTTCACTCATATTCTAAAGTGAAAGCAAATCTTGAAGCGAATTGAAATTTAGCTACCTCATAGCCTCAACAAGTAAGATAAGACAAAAATGACCACATCATTATGAATGGGGACTGTAACTTCTTGAGCTCTCAGCTTCACACATTAAAATCAACGAATGGATGCAGCTTGCGTAGTATATACTACGGAAGTATACCCAGCAATGCAGAGTGCATTATCTCTGTATTCGAGGTCTGTGGCACTTAAACACGCATCGTCTGCTTGCATTTGTTTTTTATTTCTTTCTAGATATCAACGAATGCATCGTCTTGGGATTCCCTTGTCAGAATGGAGCAGAATGTAACAATCTCGAGAATGCATATTCGTGCAATTGTTCATCAGGCTGGACTGGATTCAACTGCACAGAAGGTGAATTGTTTTCGATCGTTTATAAACCCCCATTCGTTAAGTGTGTGAATGCTCATGTACAGTCCCATACGTTATTTTTTAGCGTTATGTGACATATGATAATTATGGTTATATAAATATATTGTTGAAATAGATGCATATTTATGGATGAGAGAAAATTAGCAATTGAGAGACAGTGTATTGTTAGAGATTATTATTGCACAATGCATTGTATTTATTATCATTTGTTGTTGCTGTGCAGTTGATGAAACTAAAGCCTTGCACCTGGAATAACACACCAGTTTACCGTTAAGGGCGCCATTTTAATTTACAAGTAAACAAACCAAATGACCTAGAAGTCAGTGGTTTATGCGTAAATTGCACCATGTAAATTATGATGACATCACTGCATGCGCGCTGCGTTGTGTGCTCACATCATAATGTGCATAGGCGCAATCTTTATTTAGGCATAAACCAGTGACCTCTAGAGGTTGTAGGAATATGAGTGTGAGGTATTGTGAATGGATATTTGAAAGCGTGTTCACTCGTCACACAACATAACTCTTATTTTTATTTAGCTACGAGGAAACAAGGTTGCACTGACAATAAAATACATGAAAGAAAGTATTCCCTTTTCGTTAGTTTATTGGGTACTGATGAGGCTGGCCGTACACTTGCAAAGTGTAGCCAAGCACAAGCCGAAGAATCGGAATGAAAATGCTTAAATGGTAAATGTGAATATTGCACGGAGATTACATAATGATCAATGATGATAATGAACATGAATAAATGCGATGTACATAAATAGAGCTTACGACAATAGTAGAAATGAAGTCAAAAGTCCAATGAAGATGAAGAGAGATGAAAACGAAGGAAGGGGCTCACGCGATGATGTGCGGAGGCTGATGGCAGAAACGCGACTTCGTTGACGTGGTTGAAGAATTGGAAGAACGCGATGTCGTCGCCGATGATGATGATGAATGTATAGATGGAGCTCTCGGGCGAGAATAGAAGAGAAGAGAAGAGATGTGTGATGCTCGATGACGAAAGCAGTGAGTCGCTTGATGTCGGAGGCCAAGGAAGAAAATGCAGACATCAAAGCCGGTAGTGGTGCTGAGCAGTGAGTCGCTCGATTGATGAGCCGAACTTTGATGATGAATGTTTAGATGAGCTGCGGTGAGTCGAGCTCATGTGAGTGAAAGACTACCGGTGAAGAAACTGGCAGCTCCCAGCGAATAACCAAGCACCATATATGTCGGATCTTGATTTAATTGTTCCACTGGAAGACTGCAGCCCGATGAACACGGCAGAGAAAGTGAAGATGTGCCGATAGAAGTGATAGGCACAGTAGAATCAAGCCCGGAGAGGAAATCATGCAGAGACGTGTTGACTCAACTGAGATGTAAGCAGGAGTTGTTGACTCGACCGAGGTGTAGGCGGGAGTGGAGAACAACCTCGTGGAGTTGAAAATACGCGGGGTGAACAGTGCGGAACCACGATGCGCGATTGGAAAGAAATACACACGTGGCCCGAATAATGAATATAAATAAGTACCGTGATGGAAAAATACTGATGACATGAATGTACGGTAAAAGTAGGGCGAATGTAAGAGCCGCTACAAGGTCATTTGGTTTGCTTACTCCTAAATTAAAATGGCGCCCATTTCTGCGCATGCACACTGTTGTAACCGTATACAGGTGTATTGTCAAACCATAGTATCAATAAATCTTCTTTAATCTAATTCAAAATTTCATCACCATAACTGGGCGCAAGTTCAAAACTGTTACCATACTATGGACCTGTGACCATGAGATACCTACTATAAAATAATCCAAATCTATTAAATCTTCAACAATTGTTCGAATAGTGATCATTGTTTAAAAGTCAATTTCTTTCTTATACCTGTTTCGTGTCAATTTTAAGAAAATATTTAGGTAGCATTTTTTCCTAGGAACAAAGACATTATAATATACACTTTATCACAGGTTTCACAGCAAATCATTGCACAATACAAGTGCATACTGAAGGTGTGTTTCGGGCGGGCGGGCGCGTCTGCATGAAGTTAACGACTGTAACAATGAACATCATCATCATAATGTGAATTACTTTCATGAATTTAATGAGGATCTGATATTACTAGAGGTCAACCACAGCTGATATTAACAAAGCCCAACATTATTTGGGTAGTTCTGTGAATGTGTGTACATGTATGCTCATGTTACTGACACTGACTGGGAAGATCCACTTCTTGGCATACTACTTCACGATATTTAGGTCCAAATCCTGAAATGCCAAAGGAAATTACACAGTAATTCGTTCCTGCTTTCACGAAGTGACGGTAGTGAGGAAAATCTGCACGCAAATTGTATGCGATTTTCATTCACTAACGTCACTTCGTGAAAATAGGGACGAATTTATGAGTAGCCGAAACACGTGTGAAAATAGTGGTATGAGCAAGGCATTTGTGATTTTATGAAGAAATAAGGAAATACTTAACTCTGTAACTTATGCAGTAGAACGTCTCATTTTGTTGAACGCATTGTCTTCTTCTTTTCCACCTCCATAGACTAAATGCTCACAATTGCTTATGCATGCAAGTATATACTTGCAATTAATGAATGCTTCTCTATTTCATTATACAGCCCATTTTTTACAAAATGTATACCGCTGTACAGAATGATCAACAGCGGTTTAAAAGATAATTAGAACGCATTGAACCTAGAGTAGCCCAAGGAGAGAGGGGAGCCAATTGAAAATTTAGTAATACCGTGTAATAATTGATATCCTGAATAACATTGAAGAGTAGATTGTAAAGGCAAAAATGAAAAAAATTCAGTCTGATCAAGTACGGTAAGTCAACATCGAAAACACATCGGAACCAATTTCTGTATCGTTTCATTTCTCCAGAATGTCATGCTTTCTTTGGAACTTTAGGTGTTCAGTTAAAGATGAAGTTGAGTTCTGGTCATGCAATTGCATGGTGAAAGAAACGGTGTGGAACCGACCAGAAAAGGTTGATCATCTAGCATATAAGAATTTGTGTGTATTGCAAGGTTCTGGAATCATCAAAATGATAAGAAATGTGGCCAATTCTTGGTAAAGTTACAAACACTTGCACAGAAAGATGTATATGGGACTACACGAACACGTGGCGTAAAAAGCCGGCCCCCGATTTTTACGATGTTACATGCATATTTAGAATATGAAGGCATTTGAAGAGCCATGCTTTTCAGGGAACATGTCTTAATTTGATGTTCTTCCACACTTGTATAATAAGAATAAGTAATTCTCACAAATTATTTTTCACCTCTTCCCAGAACTCAACCTTCTCTTTAATTGAGATCCCAGATATGACCTTGTGGCTGGGCACAAGGTTATCCTAAATGACCATGTACACACATGAACCAAAGAAATTACAAGGAAAGTACAATTTCTTTCCAAGCTGTGTCACAATTTCTCCTTTGAATGTTGTAATGAATTTCATACATGGAGATACTTAGGGAATATTCAACATGTTCAACTCGTAGGTAATTAACATGAACCGAAATAAAATATTGATGATTTGTGCAACTATTCACAGTTATGAAAAGTCGAACTGTGGAGCTAAGCAAATACAGCTCCCTGCATGTGCCAAACACCAAATTAAACAACAATCTCATTATAGATGAGGTACGTAGTACTCGGTGATGACCTTTACTTTCAATACAAACAAAGTTGAAGTTGAAATTCAGGATTGATGATCTATGTGTAATCACTCATCGTTTTGCATCACTTACAGATTTCAATGAGTGTTTGAGTATTCCGTGTGAGAATGGTGCTACCTGTATGAACCTGCGAGATAGTTTCAACTGCACATGCCCTACACAATGGACTGGAACTCAATGTGAAATAGGTAAATGATGGTGATGATCAATCAGTGTTTACATGTATACAAGAATGCTTTGTCAAATGGGGATGCACATTGTAAGAGTTTGCGAGCAACTATAGCAATATAAATGACTCTCCAACTCTAATATAGCATGGGTTTATACAACAAATACTCCAGCAGTAATTACTCCATGGCCAATTTGCATCTCAAATCAGCTTTGTCAGCTTCAGCCTTGGACCAAACGCTGTACCTAACCTCAAACCCTAACACAAACCTAACCTAAAAGGCGTCTTTCCAAATTAAACAAAAACTGGCACATTGTCCAGTGAAATCTTTGGTGTTCTGAACATTTGTGACACTATCTTATTCTAAATTAAGAAATGAAAAAAAAAGGGGAAAAAAGTGTTGATCTTTACTGTTAATTTTCAAACTAAAAATCATCTCATGGATTTGGTCAAAGCATATTATAGATACATATTATTTTGCTGTTGAGTGTTGGTAAACAAACAAAATTACTGTGTTCTTTGTAAGAGCCAGCTGAGAGCAGTAGGAAATTCCAGTATAATGGTTCACCTGCACATCCCAATCAGGTATACTGGGTTGAGAGACCACTTAAGAGTTAAAGTGGTCCCCTCCCCCCCGGCACAGGGGATACCAAATACCTGTCGATAATGACAACAATGATAGTAATAATGGAAAATAATAATCATACCGGTAATAATAATAAGAAGAAGAAGGCGATAATAAAGACACAATAAAATAATAATATAAATCATCATAATGCCAAACCTTTCTCTCAAATTTTTCTCTTTAGAAAAAAATGCCTGTATTGACACTCCCTGTCTAAATGGAGGTACCTGTAACAACTACTACGACTACTACACATGCACCTGTCCAGCACACTTCCTGGGCGCAAACTGTCAAGATGGTGAGTTGTTTGATATTCAATACATTCCTAATATAATTTACAGAACTGACAATCTGTCTTTTTCAATGGAAGATGAATTTGTGGTCTGGTGGATATGTCACCGGACTGCGGATCACATGGTTCATGGTTCGAGTCCCAGCACGGCACTAATGTCATTCGGCAAAACATAAGTCTGCATTTGCCACTCTCCATCCAGGTGATAAATGGGTAGCTCATAGGATAGGAATGTTAATGTGGTTGGATTGGCATGTGCGCACTTGTAAAATGGCGCCTGGTCGGAATACTCCCCAGAGAGTTGAGTGTGTGCACCATCATGTGCAGATCAGCAATTGAATCCAATGACTGGGAGATTAATAATTACAATGAAACGCTGTTATAAATGTCGTACTGAGCACTGGGCAAATGTGACTATTATTATTATATAGAACCTTAATTTTATTCCGTTGACTACCAAATTCTTCCTTAGCTTAATGCATTATCCACCTAGTTCTTTTAAGCAGCAGATTAATAATTTTAAGCCTATACTGATGAAAACTGTTTGCCTCTACAATGCCAAGTGGAAGGATTTGTCAAGTCATAAAAGATATTTACTGACTTTTTGTAAATAGTATAGAGCAACAATGAAATTAATAGCTCTGAGATAAATTATCAATCTGTTTTTCCTTACCTTGACTATATTCACTTAGAATATGTATTTGTTTAAGGTAGAAAACAAACACATATGCATTTATACAAATATGTATACAAAAAATAAAGAAATTATTTGACAATAATTTGAATTCATGTAAATATTCTATGTCTGGGGAAGAACGGGTTGCACTGGGACGCAGGAAAAGTGGGACATCCCATCTAACTCTAGAAGTAATTAATCGTATATAAATTTGTTTAATATTGTACAAAAGGTCTTAACTATCACTGCTCACAAATACATCTACTGCTACATGTATACCACAATTTTGTATGTGGGTTTAATTATCACTTCTTTTCTGTTCCTAGCCTCAAGTATATGCTATGCGACTGGGGATCCGCACTATTTGACCTTTGATGATGTATGGCATGACTTCCAGGGTGATTGTGAGTATACTTTGGTCCAAGAGTGCAGGGATGGGATGGACTCGCCGTTTAGAGTTGATGTCAGGAACATAGGCAAGGAGGAGAATGTCTATGGATCATACACCTACGAAGTAACAGTCCAAGTATTTGAAGTGGTAAGCATAATCCAAAGTGCATTTACAATGCCAGGTCCATAAAAATATGTTCATGAAATTAGATTAACATTCATTTTAACAGCCCCTGTGAAGTTATGTATTAGTCTTAACCCTTGCAAGTCTAAGCCTGATACAAATTGGGCTGGGGTCTACAATATTTAATTGTATTCAATGGCTTTACTTTGAAATTTGAAATGATCAGCATCATGTACATGTCATGAATTATGTGTCAAGGTTCTAATTGTTTGAATCCTGAAAGAAGCAAATGATTAAATATAATTTTAATGTAACTCTGTAGTAAATGTTTGATCTATCAAAATCAGATTGTATTCAATTGGTAAAAAATGAAAATTTGAACTGTTCTATAAACCTTTTGTTAAACTGCTACCTTAGAAAAAGCAAATGATGTAAACTTTAAACCATCTCTATAATTTGCAAGTTTTCTTGATACTGGATCAGCACCTTGTATGTGTATATACTGTACCTCTTTTGAATGCATTTTCAGAAAAAAGGAATCATGATTGTTTTTTTTCACACAGGAAATCACCCTCAAACAAGGCAGAGAGGTCTTTGTCAATGGCAGGAGAGTGACCCTTCCAGTAGAACCAATATCAGGACTGACTGTGAGCCATAGTGGTTTCTATGTGGTAAGAGAAACAAAATCTGACAATTTTTCTCTATATTCAGAAGTAAAATTATCAGTTTATTGCTTTAGCTTTGTTTAATTATGTTCAGAATGGTTCAAACATAGTGATTAGGGTTGTTTCTGAAAAAAACATCAATATGGAATAGATTTTATCATATCACAAATTACAGGAATATAGAGGTGAGATATGGTGGACTTTTTCTTTTCTCTAATAATAAATTTTAATTTTATTATAGATGTAGGAAAATGACTTCTGAAGAAAGCAATGAAAAATATCTATTTTTCTTTTTTGTATGCTTTGTTTTCCCTATGTGCCTTTGATAAACTGAGGTATAAAATACAATCACTCAAAGTTATGCTAGATATATGTGCCTGTCATTGGAGGAAGTTTTAAAACTCATCAATTTTATACTGATGATCTTATCCCTACGTAGGAAGTATCGGCTGATGTCCAGTCGGACGGTCAGAACGTCTATCTGTTTGTCAAATGGGACGGTCAAAGAACAGCTGAGGTCAGATTACCTTTTGCCCAGTACCAGAATGCGACATGTGGTCTATGTGGTAACTTCAATGGAAACCTGATGGATGAGTTCATCATGCCTGATGGCCAGTTGGTGAGATTTTACTTCTTAAGCATTTTTGGTGTTGACATCAAACAGCAAACCAGCAACAATATTTGTATTAATATGTAAATAAGAAATGTATGTTATTATATTCAGGATGTGAAGGTTTTGTGTGTATTATTATCTACTAAAATTGATATTTCTTTGAAATATCTCAATTGAGAAATTGACTTTAATGCTGACACATTCATCATTTTTATTTGGTGTTACAAGAATTGTAGATGTATAGTTTATTTTGATGATGTGATGATCTGCGTTTTCTTGTCTATAGTGTAAAATTAATATAGAGATGGAGAGACATTGTTGAGATTTTGTTTGGTTCTGCAAGGATCAGAATGTATACACCTTGTTTATTGCTTATTTGCATTCATGTCAACAATATTTTGTAGGAGTTACTTTTAGCTATATTGTTGCTATGGGAGATTACTTTCTGTGTACATTCTTATTTGAATTCCAGCAATAACTTTTGCAGATTCATGAACATGTTTCCTTGAATGATGACAGAAATAACTTGTTAAAGGTAATGACAAGTAGTAATGCACCTTATACACTTTATACATGTTTCTTCCATTCATAGACCACGGATGTTCAGGAATTTGGCAACAGTTGGACAGTAAATCCCGGAACCTGTATTCCTTTGGTGCCTGGAGACAATCTCTGCAATGAAACATCTGATGCATATAATCAGGCTTCGCTCGCCTGCCAAATTATAAGAGATGCTGCAGGTAATGATAATAATGTTATACTAACAATGTTTCTGTACATTATATTTTGTTCAGAAATATATTTAGGAATGAGTGGATATAAAAAGTCAACGCATTTAACATAAAATAAATTCCACTTTTTCATCTCAAATGAAGACAAGATGCTCTTGAAAACACAATCTAGTCACTCTAATCGATCTTAAATAACATTTTTTTTAAATATAGAGTTCATAAAGTGCCAGTTGAAAATTAAATTTGTCATGGTAGTTTATTATACCAACCATTTGTTGAATTAACATTTGTGAAATTAGTAAAGTCCAATGTATTCTGCGTAAAGATGAAGAAAATAGGATACTAAGGGCATTCAAAACTTATTCAATTTTAATTAACAACTACAATTTTGTGTTGTAGATTTGAACATTAAGTTTACTTTTTACTGTAAAGGTGATAGAAAATTTGCAGTATTGTAATTGTTGTCAATACACATGTGCAAGCGAACAATGCTATCTGTCCCTACTAAACCTATGTAGTGACTTTAAAGGTATTATGCGCTTTATAATAATTGTATTATTATTATTGTTATTATATTATATTATGTTATTTTCTTTATCATATTATTATTAATTATATTATTATCATTATTTTTATATTATATTATATTATATTATTATTATTATGTTGCTGCTTCCTTTTCCATTAAACACAGGGCCCTTTGAGAGATGCTTTGACACCCTTGGCCCTGCCCCATTCTATGATGCTTGTGTCTTTGATGGTTGTATTGTGCCGGCTAGTCAACTCAATGAAACCACATGTCATCTCATCGAGCTGTACGCACAGGCGTGTTTGGACAGGGAAGCCGTTATAGAGGACTGGAGAAATGACTCCTTTTGCCGTGAGTATAGTCCTATATATGATCTTCATCAAAGACAATGAAGTGATACACTACTCAATCTTCCATGTTCACCATTGCTTTGCAGGTTTGTTTCTATATCTTGTAAACATTTGGACAACCTGTACTTTTTTGTCCAAATATGGAATGGAAATAATGGTCATCAAAGACTTCTACATGTTTATTTCAAAATGCAAGTGGGTGTGGTATATGATCTAAAATTGGATTTTGTTGTTGCTATCTGTACATCATATAGTGACACCGCACTAATTTGAAATGTTATAGAGACAAGTTTACCTACATAATTTACAAGAAGGAATTTCCATATATGCTTATTTTGAATTGATTTACTTGTATTAATATTTACACTATTTTAGTTGCAATGGGTGTTTTCTCAATAAATATACTGTTCAATTTTTAAATACATGATATTTTTAAACATTGCAGCCGTTTCATGCCCAGCTGGCCAAGCATACGGCTGGTGCACTGATGCCTGTCCATCTTCTTGCTATGATGTCGTACAAGGGGTTTCCCCCATGTGTGACAGGCCATGTGTGGAGGGTTGTCAGTGTCCAGATGGCCTGGTGTTTGACGGCTTTGACTGTGTGGACATGGGCTCATGCGGATGTTATGTGGACGGTATCTACTACTCGGTAAGAAAGAATGGCTGTGAAATGTGGATTTGCGAGTTATCTAATTCTGTACACAGAGCATGACATTCATGGGCCTGTACTTGCTTTAATGCAAAATAAAAGCATATATAAATGCGCGATAAGGTCTCTCCTGAAAACTGTCTGTTTATGATAAGCCTTGCTCATTTTCTGTTTTGTGATTGTATAGAACATGTCAGACCATTTTTTAAATGTTTAGTAGAGATGCAATATCAGACTACATGTTCCAACTTCTTGCTTGGACACATCAGTAGGTATCCATGTATCGGTGGACATTATTGCAATTGTTATTTGTTGCATACTTGGTTCTGTTTATATTTAATAGCTACCTTTTGGAACTGATTTGTTTAATTTTAAAACTTATGTTATGTCTCCACATATTGAGGCAAGCGTGTGTGTGTGTGTGTGTAATTGGGTTTTCACAGACGTGTATCAATCAGATATGAATATTTACGTTTGGAGACCGACCTTTAACACCACCATCCAAAAGACGTGACTCAGTTAGAACCTGCGTCCTCGGCTGAATCATTTTGTAACTTCCATTGTTAGCTGGATTACAGGCGCATGCCACAACGCCCTGTTTATCCTTTAAATAGACTACAACAAGGACTGATATGTAATTTTACATACCCTAATGGTTATATCCTACATACAGATTGGAGACAGTGTCTACACCCCTGGTTGCTTCTCCAAGCGTATTTGCAGCGGTAACAATGTGGTTGACATCTCTGCACAGACCTGCAGTGAGTTTGCTACATGTAGGATAGATAATGGAGAACACGGCTGCCACTGCTCAGCTGGTTACACTGGGGATGGAATCACCTGTGCAGGTAGGAAATTTATCGGAATAGAGCAATCAATTTAATGGAAATAGAATGTGTGAAACTGAGCTGCAGCTGTATATATGACAGCATTTAAGAGGCACAAGTGCTCGTAAAGCCTACACTTGAAAGTAGTGTTTATTGTTAGGTATATGTTAGTTTGTGTTAGCTATAATGTAATCACCATAGTTATTTCAAACTGGAAATGAACAGTGTTTTAATAAATTGGTATTCAACTTTCAGATTGGTATCATTTCACGTCATGTTTTTATTGTGTTTGTAAGGTAGAAGTATTAGGACATGTATTGGTCAAGGTAAGAAATTGGTTGTAGAAATATATCTTGAGACAAGGTACTTTTTTGACTTTTCAGAACTATTGTCTAGAAAAATATTTTTTTTAGAGAAACAAAATTCACAGCCTAAGAGATCAGATGATATGTTCAATGATCTAATCATCATTTTGTTGAAAATATATACCAGAATGTTCATGTGATGTACATGTATGTATAGGAAGCTCATTGTATAGAGTCTTATTAGGAAACTACATTCATAGGCACTACAGTCTATAAATTAAGGATGAATGTACAGAAGTAATGAAGAGCTATAACCACCCAAGCATTCCATTCACATATGTCATTACACCTTTCACAGATGTCAATGAATGTGCCAGCAGCCCATGCATCAATGGAGCATGTGTGAATGACCTCAACTTCTATGCCTGCAATTGTGACCCTGGCTGGTCTGGGTACAACTGTGATGCAGCCTGCATGGAGAACCCCTGTGAAAATGGAGGCTCTTGCATGGAAATCAACGCTACTTCACTTGAGTGTCAATGCCCTTTTCCATTCAATGGAACATTCTGTGAAATAAGTAAGTAGGCGTAAGAATCTTCTTTCGAAAGCAGAGTGAACAACACATTAAAAATGTGTAATGTGATTGAATTTTGGGCTGTATACCAATCATTTAACCTCAAAATACACATTATTTTATTTTTTTACAAGCGTGATTAATGTTTGCTTACTATAAAAAACATGAATGCTTTCATAGGTTTCCTCTCCAATACAGCAAGCAATTGTCTTCTTAGTCTCAATTTTATACCTTTACTGCATTGCATGTATCATCATCAATAGTGATCTGTCAGTTTATGACGGGTTTAGTGACCCAGTCAAAATTTTATATCAAATGCCTCTCCAAGTTCTTCGGTCTTGAGCCATCCTTTTCATCTGTTTCAGTGTTTGCACGTACCATATTATGTATAATTCTCGTTTTTTTTAATATTTTAATTGGAATGACTTTGTAAAATGAAAAGCTTTGTAAATTTCATTAGCTGTTATTGTTGAAAAAATGAAATGAAATGAAAATGTTCAAATAAAATCCTCTTACAATCTGCCAAAAAAAGAAGCTCCCTAACAATTCTCCTATAGGTTATCTAAAGTTCAAAATACAATTATATTTCTTTTCTTTCAAATTTCTATCATGTCATTCGAAAATTGCAAAGCAAAAGGAAAATCAATATCTTCACACCATGCATTTCTAGTTGAACCCAATAATAACAATGATCATTAGGTTGAAATTCCACCAGAAAAATGCTGATATAGACTTTGCTGCCCGTATAAAAGTACTAATTAAGTGGTATTAAAGAAAATTAATTGTTTGTACAAAAACGGTGATCATTAGAATTTTTAAACATATTGCCAACACTGCTGTTTAAGCAATAAATCCATACAGGTAGTATTCTAAGTTGTATTATGTACTGACTTTCTCTTGAAGATAATTATCCCTGCCAAATGGACCCGAACCCCTGTCAGAATGGAGCAACTTGTACCAGCTTCGGTCTGCAATACATCTGCTCTTGTGTGTATGGCTTCCAAGGCTCCAATTGTGAAGAAGGTCAGTTTAATGTACCCATAATTATTCACAATATGCTAACGCTCTAAATGTAAAATCAATGTTATAGTATCCCAACTAGTATGAAGTGATTTCAACAGCAAAAATACTTTTTTTTGGGGAGTAAAGGTACCTTACGAAGTTAGGTAACATAGAGTGATGTTTTTATTAACATTAGCAGTGAAGAAATACCCTGTGAATGAAACCTTGTCTTACAAACATGTATTTGATATAATTATCATTGTAGGTACATATGAGGTGGTGTAAAGGCTAAGAACAATGCTACCTAATTTGTTTTACTAAATGTAAAGTGAGCAATGTATGTTTTACATATAGACGAATTAATACTTATGCAAGAACCAAAAGTTAAATGTCATCTGATTGGGCATGTGTTTAAAACCTATATTGGTTTGATAAATATTTTGCTTGTCTCAAAGCGATCGTTTCAACATACATGTGATCAACATCAAATAAACAGTAACTTTTTAATCAAATTTTAATTATCACTTTTCATCTGAAATGATATTTCTTGCTCAGTCTTAGCTTTAAAATGGTTGATTTTTCAACTCTCAAATGATTTTAATGCAGATAACCTGTCTCATGTTTGCACTCACAGAGGTGAATCCTTGTAGGGATGTACCATGTCTGAATGGAGGAACATGTACCAATCTGATTGAGACATACACCTGCACCTGTGGTGGATCCTTCATGGGCAGGAACTGTGAAATAGGTAAGTGGTATCAAACAGCAAACTATTGGACTCATTGTAATGGTTGCTTCCCGGTGCTTTCTATAATTACAATATTCTCACAGAAATTTGTGTTTTTAAAAATTAATTTTGCATAATTGTCAAATAGTACCAGTGCAGTAACAATGTAGACTTAGTCGTTTGCTTTATGTTATTTTCTATTTGGAGAAATATTAGCTGACTTTTTAAATTGTTCAGTTAATTGAGCTGTGCAGATGCATCTCTGCAGTGGGTTTCACCCTTTTCTACTTGAGAAATGCAGCATGTTCTTCCACTCCATAAGGGAGTACATTTAATTCTTATATGTATGCAAACTACATTTAACATCCTTTCATAGGGACAGAGCATGTGAAAGCAACTCATAAATCGATAAACGAAAAGTCAATTACAACTTTATGATCTTACATTCAGAATCCAGATCTTTATGATGTATTGAAAATTCACCCACTCTCTTTTATTTGTATTTGAAGAGTATGGCATCTGCTACACATCTGGGGATCCTCACTACAAGACATTTGATGACCTCAGGCATAACTTCCAGGGCAGTTGTTCCTACATATTCACCCAGGATTGCTCCTCTCCTGACCCACTCTTCAAAGTGATCGTCTCAAATATGAAGAGGTCTCAAACAGCTGCAGTGTCATATACATATGATGTTACAATCAGCCTGAATCAAACGGTGTGTACTCATGTCATGTTGTTGTTGTGTGTCTTTGCATTATGATCCTTCATTGGTTGTATGTTAATTAGTTTGTATAAATATTAATTTCGAGTAGTTTCTTACACAATTATACATTAAGATATACATATACACTTGACATGCAAATCTAGGAATGTCTTTAGTTAGATACATGTACATTATTTCTTCCTATTCCTAGTGCAATCCAAGCCGATACTACCAAGTATGTGGCATAGCGCCCTTTCCAAAACACTGTTCAAATTGCTTCACTGCATTGGAATTTTTATTAAAATAAAGTGCATGACCTACTTCTAAAGATGAGAAAAAAATATATAAGTGAATCCTGTATTATTATCATGCAAAACCTCTAGACTGTTTCTCCACCATGATTTGACTGTGGAGAAAGATTTGTGAACATTGCTCTTGGATGGATATTGACATGTCCCCAGCTTGTTGATAAAGTGATTACTGCATGAAGTTTACGGGACATTATTTTTATTACTAGCCGTACTTTTACTCTAAATGTTAATTGTTTTGCAGGAGATACTCTTAGGTCCCAGCCTTGGTGTAAACGTGGATGGTGTCGTTGTCAATCTCCCATCCGAAAGACCTGGCATCAGGATTTCTGTTAGTGGCATCTATGTGGTAAGTCAACCATCAGTGGAATTATCTATACCCTAATATTCAACTTCAAAGTTTGATCTCTCTCTCTCTCTCGCTTTCTTTATGTTGAGTCTTGTGCATTATTTGTGCTCTCCCCCCTATGCGATATTTTCGTCCAACTTTTTTCAGATATGTTAGTGAGTGATTCGATTTTTTAAGAACAGTGTATATGGAAAGTATTGATTATTGAGATATCATATTATCAGTTGCAGCTGTATAGTGACATTTGAAGAATGGTTAAAAAAAATTAAGTTTATAATCTGCAAGTGATAATATCATTTCCTATATAGGATGCCTATTTTTACTTGATAACAATATTGAGTCGATGACCTGAGAGAGTTCCCCCTAGGACACACAATAGCTGTTGACTTCATTTCATCAGAAATACAGGGTTAGGATAAAGGTTCTGATTTGGATTTATGTTAGATTCAGCGTTAGGCTTAGAATTAGTAATAATTTGGGGTCCAAGGTTGAAGTTTGAAATTCGGTTTGCGTGAGAAATCGGCCATGGAGCAATTGTCTCAGGAGCATGTGTCATAGAACCATGAAAACAAATGTTGTTCAATATCACGTTACAGCAAGTAGTATCAGATGTTGGCCTCTATGTGCGATGGGATGGTGATAGCAGAGTGGAGGTCAAAGTGACATCTGCCTTCAAGAACAATACTTGTGGTCTATGTGGAAACTACAATGGAATCGGTACCCAAGAGGATGAGTTTCTTACACCAACAGGAAATTTGGTAAGTAAATGGATGCTTCCATAGTTGCCACACATTATGTGCACCTAAAAAGCCAGAAAGAAAACCAAAAATTTGAATTGATATTATTTCAGATTACAGTTTACTTTCTTGCTCTCCTTATGAATTTTTGTATTATTTTATGTAGGAGCTGTATTGCAAATGCTGAATCCCATTATGAGGATACTCAAAGGAATGCCCTTTTCTATTTAATTAGAGTGGAATCAAGTAATTATCCTTGTACTACTGCCCCTGTTTTATCGATCAATTATTTACAGGGGCTTCTCATATATTTCACACAGATCTTATATGTGATTTCAATATCATGATGTATTGCTTCATGATAGTATGTTCTCATTATGGAGACTCTATTGTAATATCTTTACATTTCAATAGTATACACTTGAAGTTGTCTTGCAATATTGCTGTTTTTCTGAAAAAAGTGTAACCCTTGGTTTCCAATGAGGCAGCATTTGGGATTATCTAAGAAGCTCCTTGTTAAGTGTTCCATAGTCTCAGATATTTTTTATTATATATGTATATATATATATATATATTGAATAAGGCAGACTAATGGAACATGGTTGCTACTTCGAGTTTCATGCCTTCCGAGCGATCATCAGGCAACTGGTAGCATTCTTAAAAGTACATGATTACTCTACCTGGGTGCAAATACGTTTAAAATAAGACTTAACTTATACAATTCCAAAACAATAAAATTTACTCATGGGTGAAGGGGCTATTGTAATTGCTCAGGTACTGCGATGGAATTTTAAACATGGGAGGGGGTATCGCAAAATAGTCTCCACCAAGGTGCTAGTACATAAATATTTAAGTATTTATTTAAGTATAGTCTCTTTTGAAGTTGCAGATGTAGAATTTGTTTTCATGGCGGCATTTGGAGATGAGTTCTGGTCTTTTGTTCAGGAGTGTCTGTTTCTCGGCGTTGATGATGGCAATCTTCTCAGTTAGGCACAGGTTACATTTCTTCGTTTCGCTGGAGTACGCCTAGGCCTTGCTGGAGATCGACCACTTGATGGTGAATGGGGTGCTTTGGTGTTTGAGTTGCCAAATGTGTTTGGAGAGTTCTGTGCTGTTTTTGTGCTTCACATGTCGGAAGGACTGTAGATGGCTGCTGTACCTCAGCTTGAACGGGGGCTCGGTGAGTCCAATATATTGCTTAGGACTTTCTGGGTAGGAGACTTTGGCACTGTAGATGATACTGCAGGCCTTGCAGTTTCCTTGTAGGGGGCACACATTCTTTTTTCGGCAGTTGTAGGTTTTCGGCTTGGTTTGGTCGTCCGTGGATGAAATCTGCTTGTTGTGCGCCTTGATGATGCTGGCGTCATTCGGCATGCAGCGGTAGCTGACTTTGAGCGTGTTTCTGTTGAATATCTTGTTGAATTTTGATTTCTTTGGGAAGTGCTTATCGACAAGCCTCAGGAATGATCTGCCGATGTTGGTTGTGACATTTTTGCTGAATGGAGGGATGAACCAGATGATTTTTCGTTTCCGGTTTTGCTTTCTCCTTGTCGGGCGCTCCTTTGTGAAGCTGAGGGTTTCAGCAAATTCACTGGCTTTTAGGGCATCGTTGTAGGTAGGGGAAGCTTCGTTAAAAGTCTCTTCATCGCATTAGATGTCTGCTATGCGGCGGCTTATCGATGCTGGGAGGTTCTTGGTGATGGATGGTGGATGGTTGGATAGCTTGTGGATGTACATTGGGCAGTCATTCGGCTTCCTGTAAGGGTAGTACTTGCCATCACTCAGGTTGAAGGTGATGTCGAGGAAGTTGGTGATTTTTAGGTTGCAAACGATTGTGATGTTTAGGCCAAGCTTTTGGAATGTTCTTGTTATGCTTTTCCTAATCCGATCGGCTCTGCTTCCGGAGATGCTCTTGAAGACTGCTAGTCCATCGTCTCTGTATAGCCCGATTCTATCTTTGCCATAGTCCTTCGATAGGATACTTAGGATGTATAAGCCGACCAACTCACATATCTCAGCTCCGTCAAAAGTGCCCATAGTGACATCGAAGAGGCCGTTGCTATCCTTCTTCCTCCATGGATTGCCTTTGTCAAACAGCAGAGATTTCCTTGAGTGCATAATGACCTCGATATCTCGTCTGCTGACGTGTGTGTATTCCTTGGCAAAGTCCAATGATTTCTTAAGCAAACTTTCCGATATAGACGGGTAGAAGTCAACTATGTCGAAGCTTATGAAGGTGTGCTTGCCTTTTTCTTTGTATACCACAGCCATTGAGCTCCTCCACTGGTTTACTCCTGACACTGATCTTACTGCGTTGTTAATCTTCTCTAGGGTGATTTTGCCTATAATGCCTGTTTCACTCTATATATTTTCCACTATAGGTGTCCAATGAGGCAGCCTTTGGTAACAGCTGGGAAGCTTACAATGATCCAGATTGTGTACCTCAAGGAGACGAAACCAATCCTTGCTTGAGTGCTACAGAGTCTGTGGTTCTTGGAGCCCAGAGCAAGTGTGATATCATTCAAAGTGCTGCAGGTAAGAGAATGAAACAAACAAAAAATGGTGTAAATAAATAGAATTTAGCATTGAATTACCAGTAATGCCCTTTTGGCACTCTAAAGATGAAGTATGGATGCATTTTGCTATATTTATACTTTCTATACCCAACGGTGCTAATGATATTTTGTAAAATTATCAACTAAAACAAGAAAAATAATGTTTTGTGAAAAACAAACGATACAGATGTGGCATTGTTTGTTGCGCTTAATTGTAAATGGGATTGTAAGCATTTTATTTGCGAAATCTATTATTCACATAGTTTGATAAAATGCTATAAACAAGAAAGAACCAATACTCATCCAGGTTTGCTATCTTATGGCAATATTCCTGTTTTATTGATTTTAATCTTCAATACAGTTTGAGATAACTTTTAATTTGTCTTCATTGCTGTAAGTACAAGTCAATGTAGGATGGATTTTCGTGCTGTTGTCATGTGGTGAAGACATACATGTAGGTTATGTCTCAATTTATGAAGATACGTTTTGTTTTGTGTTATAAAGTTGAGACATGTATAGTTTCTCAATTTAAAACACTGTTTTCTTTGTCAGTTGTCTTACTTCCATCCCTTTTTTGTACCCTATCTGGTGAATTCTTTCAGGACTTACAGAGTGCTTTGCTGTATTGGATCCCACCCCATACTTCAGAGACTGTGTCTATGATGTCTGTGCATCCCCTGATGACGACGATACTGCACTCTGTAACGCTATGGCATCTTACACCCAAGCATGCAGATACTTCTATGTCGATGTCCCTTCTTGGAGGAATGAAACACTCTGTCGTAAGAATCCAGACTTTAATTGTTGAAAAGATACTTCTCTCTGGAATCAATGCTTTAACACCCATGATAGTTTTATCAGAGTTACTTTTGAGATATTAGGTATTAGGTGCTAACAATTTCATCCTTGTCAAAATTTTCCTTTGCATGAGTATTTTGAGCAAATGATTCAGTAAGCAAATTTCCATGTATGATTTACAGAGAATAAAGATTGTACCTGAGGAGTAAAGCCTCAATATAATATGACATTGTAAAAGTAAAGCATTTTTTAACATGATGACGTATAGTGTAGTACGTTTTACATATCTGTATGTTATAAAACAGAGTTCAGTGAATACGTGCAGGACTTTTGTTGTGTGCAGTTGCCCTTTATTTACACGTACAGAAAAAGCATAATGTTTTTTCAGGGTAGTTTACGCTAGCAATTAACAAGCCTTAAGTAAAAAGATGAGATGTCATCTAACTATCATCCATTTCCATTTGATTTAATCCATGTCTAATCTTTGTCTCTATCCTTTCTTGCTCTCCTTGTCCAGCCCTGACCTGTCCATCAAACAGCACCTACGGTAGCTGCGTCTCGGCCTGTCCACGCACCTGCTGGGATTACCAAGACCCTGATCACACCTGTCACGACCTCTGTGTTGAGGGGTGTGCATGTGATGAGGGATTCGTCTTGGAAGATCTGCAGTGTGTACCGGAGAACCAGTGCGGATGTGTTACAGATGGATTCTATCTCACGGTAAGTTAATCTTGGAATATTTTAATCATGTTGTGTATTTCTTTTTCTTTAGCTACCTCTAGTTCATTTACAGTTTTAATTGCTATGTATATGAGGATATCACCACTAAAATCGAATCACAAGGTTTTTATTTTATTTTACTAACGATGTGATGCAACTTATGTGTATCAAGATAGTATAGGTTGTTTTTTGGTGTTATTGGCGTTTCATTCTTTACATTCTTTATATTTACACCGTGACATTTAAGAATGGTTTGCACCATTGGCTTTTTGTGATAAGTGACATTGTCTCTAACTTGTAGAGTACCGAGCCCAAGATGAAATTATTCAGGTTGACATTCACTGAAAATATATATTGAATTGGAAGTGAAACTGGCTCCAAAGTTTTAAATAACTCCATAAAATATGACAAGAGAAGCACATTTATACTTTTACAGTCTAGGTTTTATACCCAATTTCAAAATGCAATTTCTCATGTCAAATTTTAAGAATGGAATCAAATACTGCTATCTGATGAACATGTACCACTGCAACCCAAATTTTTGAGAAATTGAGTCAATTCCCTGTTTGCTGACTTACTCTCTTTCTCTCTTTCTCTCTTTCCACTCTATTTCTATGTTTTCTGTATTAAATCAGGTTGGCAGTATTCTTCTGACTCCAGACTGCACAGAATACTGTGAGTGCAACGCAGGCGGTAGTATCAACTGCACTCAAGTATCCTGCGATCCTAACGCATCGTGCGGAGTGGTGAATGGAGAGACACGCTGCATATGCAATGCTGGCTATGACACTGTCGGCTATGGATTCACCTGTTTAGGTATGTTGTTTTCTGTTATGTCACTTTTACTATGTGCTGCACAAGGTGACCCAACATGTGCTCCTGCGCCACTTGCTCCACGTTTCATTTTATCAAAAATATAGGGTTAGGGTTGAAATTGGGTTCTTGGTTAGGTTTAAGGGTAGGGGTACGACTAGTGTTGGTTTTGAGGTCGAAGTTACAGACTCGACTGGTGTAGTATTGAGACGTTACAATTGTTGCTAGAGCAAGTATCATACAACCATTGCACTGGTATCTTAATACATCATTATCATAGAAAATAATGCCAACAGGAAAATTTGTCCTTATTTAGTCTAAGTGACTAATGAATCATAAAAGGCAAACTTTAGAGCAGGTTTCTCTGCATCGTTCTGATATTTCCAGATATTGATGAATGTGCCAGCAGCCCATGTGCGAATGGAACATGCATTGATGAAGTGAATGGCTACACCTGTGACTGTACACCAGGCTGGATCGGTCAACTCTGTGGTCAGCAGGACGATTGTTACTCCAAACCCTGTCAGAATGGTGCAACCTGCAAGGATGGTATGGACATGTTCACCTGCATATGCGCACCAGGTTGGACAGATGAAGTTTGTGGAACAGGTATTAGCATATCCTCTTTTTACTCTTTTAAAGCCTGTCTGCACTAGTTTGGCCAGGGGGATTAGAGTGCCCAGCAAGGTCACTGACAGGTGGTTATTGAAATCAGCTCTCAATTAACATAAGAAAAAGGGGATCATGGGGGACTAACAGGCACTGATCAGTCATTGTTTGCTATATAATGAGCGCAAGAAGCTATAAGTAGTGCAGTGGGGCTTTAATAGAAGATTGAGTTCCGGTGAAGATTTACATCCATTGTAGAATGATAGCATAGTATAGCGTATTAAAGTCACATGAAAAGAATTGCTCATCGGAGTAAAATGCTTGCAGATTTTGGTAAAATCTCACTTGAAAATGGTTGATAACTTTAAACCAACTTTGTTGTCCTATATATGTTTAGTCCCATGCACCCATATCTGTGCAGTGCAGTGCTTTTTTTTTTCAGCAGGACTTCATCAGTATTACTCTATCTTTGTAAATGTTATGACACCTTATTTCACAGCATCCAGTGCATGGAAAGGCCAAATTTTGATTGCCCCGATGCATTTATAAGAAGAACCTCTAAACCCTCATGAAAACATTATAAATCTTCCTTTTCTGTTTTCAGACATCAATGAATGTGCAGACGCCCCCTGTGACCACGATGGAGTCTGTATTGATAAACTAGCTGCCTATGAATGTAACTGTACCCTAGGATGGGCGGGAGAAAACTGTGAAATAGGTAAGTCATCCCATAATTAACCACTCATGAGTTCTGCAAGTAATCCAATGTTTACAGTCAATGAAATTGACTGTACCCTCACGTTTCCTTTGTGGTAGTTCAATGGCCTTCAACCATATTTAATTGACCCTTGCTGTGGCAGTGGCAGTTTAAGCTGTCCAAAGCTACAAAACAGGTTCAGGATTTAATTGAGAGCTAAACTGTTAATCTAAGCACGAGATTGGTTAACTCTAAAATTTGCATCAATGATACAGATGAATTTTTACTATAGGTTCAGATAACTAAAGGAAAAGGGTTCAATGATTGAAACAAAAAATGAATCTCATATTTGATTTGTGATGCCTGTTTGAAAACTTGTTAGCAGTGGAATAGTTACTGGAATATGGTTCATATGACTGACCTTTTACTTGGGATTTTTTTTTCTCTTTGTTTTCACTTCTTTCCTGACAGCCATTGATGAGTGCGGCAGCGACCCCTGCTTAAATGGAGGTGAATGTTTTGACTTTGTAGGATATTTTAGATGCTCATGCCCAACTAACTACGCCGGAGATAGGTGTGAGATAGGTGAGTTCATACAAGAGGAATACATTTTCTTTTAAGACTTTCAAATATTATATTTGATTAAGTTTACTTGATTTCTCTTTCCTTTATCATCTTCTTGATGATCATATTACTTTGCTATAATGCAGCTTATATTTCTCTATATTCTTGCTGAATATACTGACAAAATTTATTGAAATATGCTATATGCACAAAGGGAAAATGCAAACATACTAAATGTATGCTTTGACTCATACATGACATTTATTTTTTTCAGTCAGTTAGGTAAGTATGGGTATATAATTGATGTAGAAATTAAGGGGCTTGTTTGTTGGACATATTAAAGATTAATTTCATTTCTGTACTTTTATGTACAAAAAACAACCTCGAGACATGATATTTACTTAATACGTTGGTTAATTAAAATTTAGTTTTTGACATAACTGAATGAATGGTTAGCTAACAATATTTAAGCCTCATTGAATGGTATATGTATTGGTTACCAGTTCCATATCATAATGATGTGGGTCTTCTTCTTTGTGATGAAATTATGATTTCCAATAATGATGCATTTTGTGTTCTGGATTTGTCTCTTCGTGCCTATATTTCGCTAAGCTACCTTAATAAGATTACAGTATCACTTCTGATCAGATGTTTCTTTTAGGCATGAATTTAATAAGTACAAGGGGTCAAAAGAATTTTTGTTTGTTTTGTTGATTAAAGATATACAAATTATACTCTTTCTATCTCTCTCTCTCTCTCTCTCTATATATATGTGTGATCTTCTTGTTAGATTCAGTTGGTAGGAAAGATGTATTTTTCAATTTGTTTTCCTTTCTTTATTCATATCCTCAGATTTATCTCCCTGTGCGGAAACCCCTTGTCAGAATGGTGCAACATGTGTTGGGTTAAGTGAGGACGTGTACTCGTGCCACTGTGTCCCGGGATATGTTGGGGGAAATTGTGAATTGGGTAAGTTAACTTGAATCATTCTTTATTCAGTAGGGGTGTATCAACATTCATATCCATTTTATTCTAGCTTCATGATTTAAAGGGGAAGTCCAACCAGATATTAACTTGGTTTTAATAACAGCAGAAAAATTAGAACAACAAATTAATAAAAGTTTGAGCAATATACAATTGAAAATAGGAAAGTTTTGAATTGTTCAAGTTGTCATTATTAAAACACAAATTGGCATCACTGTGACGTAGCTTGCGAGCTCCTCTCCAATATGCTCTGTAAAGAAATATCATTAACTTTCATTTTCTTAGTAATTGATGACGGAAAAGATTTGTGTCATACAGGGGTTATATAAAAACACATTTGCAATAATTACATTTAGGGTGAATGAATGATAGGAAATATTTGACTTATTGCATGTTAAAAAATTAACAACTTGTATAACATCATTGTAGTGCTAATTACACAGTAGGGCTAGGCAGTGTGCAGTGCTATGGTCTTGAAAGTGCAATGCCCTAACCACGTACATGTACGTGGTGCGCACAGGGCATGCAAGACCTAGACCACGTAAATGTATGTGGCCCGCAGCCAAGTGGTTAAAACCAACCTGATATCAGGGTGGACTTCCTCTTTGAGGGATGAAATACAGACAAATATGTTTGTTCAGGACATCCAAGGGAAACATTGAGTATTTCAGTGATCCTCGTCTCAATGGAGATACCTATAATGATTTGCTTGTTTGGTTTCAATTAGGATTATGTCATTGTATTTTTTCAGCCAATGATAGGTATGAAACGATGAAACGATTGGCTCAAGACCGAGGAACTTGGAGAGAAACTTGGAGAGACACTTGATATACTTTTGAATGGGTCACTGGACCTGTCATAAACTGACAGATCACTATTGATGATTTTTTCAAAGTGATCCCTATATGAATGGAGGCACTTCCAATGATCTAGTAAACACCTATCAATACTAATTTACCTTTTAACGAATGGATGCTGTTTACTGTTCAGCCATGTTCTTGGTATTCAGATGTCAACAAATGTTTCAGTGATCCCTGTGTAAACGGGGGTACTTGCAATGATTTGATAAATGTCAATTTACCATTGCATGAACAAAAGATGTTTACTGATATAGTATGTCCTTATTTTCAGATGTCAATGAGTGTTTCAATGATCCTTGTCTGAATGGAGGTACCTGTAATGATCTGGTCAACATGTATCAGTGAAAGATGTTTACTGATATAGTATGTTCTTATTTTCAGATGTCAATGAGTGTTTCAATGATCCTTGTCTGAATGGAGGTACCTGTAATGATCTGGTCAACATGTATCAGTGAAAGATGTTTACTGATATAGTATGTTCTTATTTTCAGATGTCAATGAGTGTTTCGATGATCCTTGTCTGAATGGAGGTACCTTTAATGATCTGGTCAACATGTATCAGTGAAAGGTGTTTACTGATATAGTGTGTTCTTATTTTCAGATGTCAATGAGTGTTTCGATGATCCTTGTCTGAATGGAGGTACCTTTAATGATCTGGTCAACATGTATCAGTGAAAGATGTTTACTGATATAGCATGTTCTTATTTTCAGATGTCAATGAGTGTTTTGATGATCCTTGTCGGAATGGGGGTACCTGTAATGATCTGGTCAACATGTATCAGTGAAAGATGTTTACTGATATAGTATGTTCTTATTTTCAGATGTCGATGAGTGTTTCAATGATCCTTGTCTGAATGGGGGCACCTGTAATGATCTGGTCAACATGTATCAATGTGAATGTGCCATTGGATTTGCTGGAGTCAACTGTGAAGAAGGTCAGTATTACTGTAATAAACTGCATTTTGGTCCATGTATGATATGAGATGATAACTTGTGTTCATTAAATTGGATCTTGATACTGTTTAAAATAAACATGTAACATAGTATGAAGCAGCAATTATTTAGCATAGCGTTAAACACGAGTACTGCATTAGATTGTGTTACTCAATATCCATGATGTAATTCATTAAGATGACTGAAATTTACTTTGTATGTGAGTATTCATAGTAGCACAGTCTATGTGCACATTTAGTTATAATAAAGAATATTTCTGATTTTGGCACTGGTATCATGAATATTAATATTTTCCCTCAACAATGTTTTTTTGTCATTTTAAATAGAGATGTCCGAAAATTCTTTTCCTTGATTTATAATTTTCATTTCCCTATCGTTTAATATTTAAAAATCTGTACAAATATTTTAATGAATAATTAAGTACCGGTACCGGTAATGCACTAGAATACATGCCAATGTTGGTGTTTATTTCAATTGTAAATATGTAAATATATCTCCAGACTTTTGCCATGTTTTATTTTACCAATAAAACCGAAATTGTATTAAAGTGAATGAACAATACATACAACCATTATATGGACTGCATTTAAAAAACTGGGCAAATATATCAACATTTTTTTCTTCAGACGACCGCCCTCAACTGGAGATTGTCAGAATCTGGAGCAACGCCATCACCATCTACTGGACTGTTCTTATCGAGGTGGAGTCGTTCAGAGTTGAGTACCGAAAGGTCAATGATTCAGAGTGGTTCATCAGTGACACTCTTAACGGAGGAAGACGTCTGTACAGTCTCCTTGGTCTTGAGAGCGAGACAGGCTACGAGCTGCTGCTTGTGATGAAGAGAGCTGCAGGAGGAAGCATCGCCACAACCGTACCAGTCACAGTCGTGACCTGTCAAAGGGGTTTCAGTGGAGAAAACTGCTCACAAGGTAAGAAACTAATAAGAAGGAAATACTTTTAGTTTTTATTTGAGAGTTGTATAATTCATCATTTGTAATTAAACTTGGTTCTCTGCTGAGGGGTAATAATAATAATAATAGCTAGTCCTTATATAGCGCATTTCAGGACCACAGGCCCTCTCAAAGCGCTTTACAGATATATATTATTACCGTGGTCATCGGATTCAGGTTTACCTGCACACAATGTATGCACATTCTCCACTCCCTGGGGAGCATTCCAGCCAGACGTCATTTTTACAAGCACACACTTGCTCATACACTTGCTCATCTAACCATATTAACTTTCACATCCTACTGGGTACCCATTTAACACCTGGGAGGAGAGTGGCAAATATAGATCAATGTCTTGCCAAAGGACATTAGTGCCGCGGCGGGACTTGAATCGCGGACCTTGTGATCCACAGTCCGGTGACTTATACACTCAAACATGTTTCCCCCAAAGAATGTGATTTTTCATGGAAAACACCTTTTGTACCCAGCAGTGTAGTACCTCATCATGTCTGATAACCATATAAGTTTTGAGGCACCATTGTTATTGGTAAATGGTAAAAAGTTAATTGTATTCACTGGATCCAAGCTTCCAAAAGGTTTGCCTAGAACATGCATGAGTGTACATGAGGATTAGTGAAGATTTCATTTTTAACAAATTGCTTAAATAAATGTTGTGTATTGTATACATTCTGTATTCCTGTCATTCTCTACATATGCAAGGTAATGTTAATTCAAATTTTTGTACCAATCATTGAAACCCAGACGCGACAGACCTGCCTTTCAATATTCAGATCCAGACGGCCCGCACCAACTCCCTCACCGTGACCTGGAACTCTGACTTCACCCCTCCCTCCAACAACAGGATCCAGCTCCAGTACCGGCCCTATGGAACCACCACCTGGATCCCCGGACCAAGGGTCACTGCTGTGTCCCAGGGGATAGCTGACATCCCGTCCCTCAGAGGCAACGAGTACTACGAGGTCAGGATCTATGTCGGAGATCTGGACCTGCAGCTTTTCAACTATAGCTTGGTTAACAGGTTCTATACTTGTGAGCCGAACCGTGTTGGACCCAATTGTGAAAACGGTATGTAAACCCTCTTTGCATCATTCATCCCTAGCGTACATGTGTACTCCTTTTTGAAAACATGGGACTGGATTCCTATTGGCTTCATGTTGCAATTTTTAGAATTGTCTTCCTTTTTTCATGCTGGTACATGTACATAACCTTAACATTGCTTCTGTTCAATATAATTATGTGTCTTTGCAAAGAATAGGGATTTTCACTTTAAAACGAAAACACGTTAATAACAATACTTTAAAGTAGTCTTATATATACACACTAATGAGGACATGTTTCAATACGATTTCAGACAGACTTGTCCGTAGACCAGTCAATCATATGTTAAGAATAAGTATTCATTTATCTTGTATTCTTTGCTTCTTCTCATATCTTTGCTCCATTCTGTCTAGTGTGTATGAGTATATGTGTGTGCATTTAAATTTATATTTCTATTATAATGTACTTGTATGTAGGGTCCCGATTACAAGCAGTCTTGCTTCTCAGGGGCCCTGGCCATTATTACTTTTATGTTTTTTTAATGTTTATTCTTCTATTGTATTGATGTTTTTATAAATATATATATTTGTTTTAAAGGTCAATAAATGAAATGAAATGAAATGAAAAAAAATGTATACGTGTGTAGTGGTATTGTCATTTTGATATTTGGAATGCTGTTTTGCCATCCTCTACAGAATATCAAATTTGCACCGTGTGGGGAGATCCTCATTACATCACTTTTGATGGAGCTTCCTACAACTACCAAGGAGACTGTGAGTACACCCTAGTCACCGATGACTGCGTTGCCTCTGAGAACCCTAGCAGTCTGCCTGGCTTCCACCTATGGAGTGATAACGTGAAGCGTTTGCCTTCAGACAGGGTGGCTTACTTGAGAGAGATTGGGTTGGAAGTGGATGGAACTGTCTTTACGGTCGGGAGGGACCATGTCCTGAGGATTGATGGCATTAATGTCACACCCCCAAAGAGGTCAGGACAGGTTTTTATCTTCTACACTGGAGCACACACAGTAAGTTTGTTATTTGAAACACCCTATTTGATTTGCAATGTATTGTAAGGCAAACATATCCTACACTCATGGTTGATTTCATGCAAATTTATGATTCTGTAATGTCGAATTTGTCTTATATGTCTTTTGTTCTCTTTAAATTTATAAATCTGTTGCTGATGAATCAGAAATATGTGAAATCACAATAAAAGACCTGACAAGCAAGTCATGTTGTCAATGAGTTTTTTATGATTAGGCAATCAATGAAAGTCAACTGCAATAACAATATCAAGTTTTTATTAAGAAAATAGTTAAGAGCTGTATCTCTTTAAGTGCTTTCATGTTTATCAGTTTGGATGACCTCCTTCATGCAAGTTCACTGGACCCACTTGGGCCTGTATGATCAAGTGCAAGTCTTCTTATCAATAGCTAGTTTGCAGTCTCCTGTCTCTTATGTACAAATTTGCAATTGATATCAATCGTAAATAAGTTGCGAACTGTTTATAAGACGGGCCCTGGTCTTCAAGTATGTTCATGTCACTGAGAATATGTCTTTGCCTTTTTCAGATTATTACAACTGACTTTGGTCTACGAGTTCAGTATGATGGAGGATACAGAGCTGAAATAACACTCCCAGACACGTACAAGAACATAACATGTGGTTTGTGTGGTACATATGATGATCTGCAGGATAATGAATATACTAAGAAGAATGGTCTTGTGGTAAGTATATCAGAATTCATGTCTATTGCTGGAAAAGTGTTGATGACATTTCTGTGATTTAAATCAGGTATCTTTGATTTTATTTCTGTTTGACAGGATGTAAGTTTTCCAGCCCTACTTCATATGTAAATATTTTCATCACTGCATAAATCTCAAAACATCTTAGATTTGAACCATTATAGCTGCTATGCGTTTGTTTATCTAATTACCGCATTAACATGATAAACGTAATTAGTTTAAATATAATCATAAATGAAGACTCCAGATTGTAAAAATCCGGAGTTAAAAAGTATCCTTTCCCATTTTTGGTTATATTTATACTAGTTATGTATTCTATAATTAATAAACAATTCATGCTGTTAGTATGCATTGGATTGGTCTTTTTTTAAAGTGATATGTTATGGCTTATGGTCCAAAGATGTGGTGCAATGTGTGCAGCTCTTTGTAACTTAAAGAAAAACTACCTTTTGAATTGGATTTAATTATTTTTTTTTATATTTCAATGTTGACAAATTTGAATGTATTTTACATATTTGTTTTTGTAGGTGACTTCTGCCCGTGAGTTTGCCAACAGTTGGACTGTCTCTGATTGTGAGATTCCTGTAGAAGATGAGATCCCATGCTCAGATGATGCAACAAGGACTAAGGCAGAGGAACTATGCAACATTCTCAATGATGTAAATGGTGAGTTTGAAATGGGAATAGTATATTCAGTATTTCCAGAGTGTTATATTAGGGTCAGGACAAGGATAATAATTTTTTATCGTTTACTGCAATATTATTATTACACTCCATGAAACCAGCTTGCTCTTTCACATTGAAAGCATGCATGCATAATGACATTATTATTTTAACCCATTCCCCCTAGGGTCAATAGTGACAATACAGGAACCATCTGAATCCTGTAATCTGCTGATTAAGATTGATCTCTGAAGTTACGTATCCATATATCCATACGTGCCAACGTGCCTACATGCACATGTAACTTTACAGATCAATTTTACACAGTACATAAAAATACTGTGTTTGATCTGTTTTAAGTAAATTGTTTAAATAAGATGTACATGCATATGTATTTATGTCCCGACTAACCTTAATATCACTATCCAAAAGGTGTGACATGACTTGAAATTAAAGCTGGGTCTTTCTACATGTACATTTATATGCAGACAGAAGATTCAATCACTAACCCAACGTACATCTGTCTATAAGATGTTTTGCACATACATGTATGGATACATATACACCTTTAATACATATACATGTGTATATATATATGTATTTTTCATGGAAGTGACATTTTAACTACAAGAACATTTTTTTGCACATCCTTTCTTGTAGGTGTATTGGGACCTTGCTTTAATGTCCTTGACCCTGTTGTGTACTATGATGCCTGTGTGTATGACCTCTGTGTAACACTTCCTGAAGATGACTTGGTTTGTGCTGACATCGATGCCTATGCATCGGCCTGTAGACAGGCTGGAGGAGTCCTGGCTGGAAACTGGAGAGCAGAACTTACTCAATGTGGTATGTTGACAATTAAAAGGGGCTGCAAATAACGCATAGACATTGGAGTTTATTTAAAAATTGATTGATTGTTTTTTTTTGATTGATTGATTGTCTGATTGAATACAGACGTACAGTGTCGGGTTGATATGTATCGCTTTGTGTTTTTTATCTGCATTTGAAATTCAACTGTTCTTGTTGCAATTAGTAAATAATTAAGGACAAATTGTAACTGAAGTAATGATCTCTGTTATTTTGACAGAAACTGTATAAAGGAATGCTGGCTTCAAACTTTGACCTTATACTGAGTTCCAAAACTACTAGCTGTTTTTTTAAACTACTACTGCATTTCCCTTTAAACCAAAATGATTCTGTGAATCATGATTAAATGGATTTAGACTCTCAAAATATTATACTTGCTTTCACAGACTTGGTCAATTTCATGTTCCATGCATATACAATCTGTTATATGTAATTGGATTAATTGAAAATAATTCAGATTCATTTGTTCTATTATTAATGATCCATTGTATGTGATTGGAGTAATTAATAATAATTAAAATGCACTTCTACTCTTTGCACTAGTTTTTGAAGTATCATGGTAACATTGCAAATCATGCTACAGTCAAACCTGCTTTAGTGACCACCTGTCTACAAAGAACACATTTTTGTTTCCCTTGAAATTGGTCTCTCATTTAAACATGTACTAAAGGAACCTGCCCACGACCACCTTTTGTGTTTCCCTTGGGTGGTCACTATAGACAGGTTTGACTGTATATGTAACATCAGTGCACAGTAGCTGCAATTAAACAAGCATTTGAGCAAGGACTTTTATATTGCTTCATACTACAGGGCTGACCTGTCCTGTGAACTCCACCCTCCACTCCTGTGCCAGTGGCTGTCAGCCTGCCTGCTCCGATAATAACATCCAGTCTGACTGTCCAGTGTCCTGTATCGAGACATGTGTATGTGATGAGGGACTGGTATTAGATAGTGACAGGTGTGTGGAATCTCAAGACTGTGGATGTCTTGATGAAAATGCTGAATACCGCTCGGTGAGTATATACACACTTATTCATTCTCTCAGCCAAAAGATCGGTTATGACTAACATATTCAGATTTATGAATGTTTCTTTCCTGGGTAACTTATAATGAGGTGTCCATCAAGGCTCGGTCACAAATGCCATTATGAACTACTACGAACGCCGTACGAACGATTTTCAGACAATGGAAATTCGGGAAGACAATGGAAAAACAAGGAGATTCGTACAAAATTATCGTTTGTACGAACCTTTGTGACCATAGCATTAACCTGTTATTAATGAATGAACTACAATAATTGGAATCCATTCTGCATACATTGCTTGTTGCTATGTTGGGCAAACAGTACGCATACGATTTGAATATGTTAATAAACCGGTCTATTATGACCCGTGATGTACATGTAGATGTTTGTGTAACTTTTTTCTTGGTCCTAAAGTTTTTTATTATATCCCCTGGAAAAAAGAAATGTTGCTTGTGGCTTTTTAGTTAAAAGTCAATTGATATGGATTTTTACCTCATTAAGTTTGTTTCATATTCTATGGATAAAGGAAATCCAAATGATTGTTTAATTTCTTTGGATTGGCAGGAGACAATAGAACTTGATGAAAGGTTTTAAGGTTTTTCATTTTTTAAACAAATGTGATGAAATTTAATTTGTCTTGTATTTTCATGCTCCTGTCAATTTTGGAAATTCATTACAAAAATTAATTTACAAAGTACTTTACACATATGTCAGATTTAGAGGAACGTGGTAAATATTTTGCATTTTACCTTTTTACGATCTAGTCAGATATACTATGACACACACTACAATCACCTGCAATGGTGAATTTTTTCTTTATTCTTTTCTTTTTCGTCTTCCTCTTTCTTCCCCTCTTCACCTTCTCCTATTTATCATTATCATATTATTCTCTTTACTCTTTATTTCTATTTTTCTTTTCTTCTCAAATTCACTCTCCTTGTACCTCTCCAGAATCTCATACTATACTACTCCGTTTTTTGCCTTCTATAATATCTTTTAAAAACAGACCTACTTTATTGTGTTACTCAGTATGGGAGCCTATTCACATACAAGCTATGCTTTTTATTTAGGCTCCCCACATTTTACATTGTTCTACCTTGCCCGATATATCTACATATTTTGAAATTTCGTACTTATTTTCCGTACATTATATTTGATTTGAAATCTTTAATTTTTTTTATTTTTTCTTCTTGTGTGAAATCTACTCTTATAATAATATACACTTGTGTAAAAAAAGAATAAAAAAAAGAAAATAGACTGTTTTTCTATGTAAAATGTGGAATAAATATTGAAAAAAAATTATAAAAAAAATATCAGGAATTATGCCTTTACCCTTCTTCAGTATTGCCTTTATTGCATTCATATAATATCTTGATATACCTCATTTTTATGGTCATATAATACATGATATTCCTTGTCTGTAATCAGCTTAATGAAACATGGACAACCGACGATTGCAGGAGAAAGTGCAATTGTACAGGATCAGGGTCCGTTCAATGTTCCTCTTCCAGCGTATCATGTGGACCCAACGAGGAGTGTGCCATCAAGAGAGGGGTCAGAGACTGTTACTGTCTCGAGGATTACTCTAGGGATGACAATCAGGAATGCATCAGAGGTATAAAGATTATTTTTCTTCTTATTTTATGTTCATGTTTATAAGGATAGAATTGTATTTGCTTATCTGGAGCAAGTATTAAAAGAGGCCTTATCGAACAGAAAAGTTTCCAAAGAAATAATTGTGTGTAGTAACCTTAATGGATATAAAATAAGGATTGAAAGGGGAACAACTAACATTTACTATTGAATTGTTAGACAAACATTCTAGTAAAGTAGTTATTTATGTACGTATTATCAACAACCTCTTTTCTTCAAAATGATAGGTCAACACCTACATGTTTCCATTTAGGAATTATTCTCAGAAAAGACCACAGTACAAGGAAATAATATCTGCTATTTTGAAAGGTTATATACACACTTTTCCATTACTTAAGTTCATCTTTAAACCTTTTATAGAGCCAGGACACTGTATAGTTAGAGGAGATCCCCACTACGAGACCTTCGACCATCACAGGTACAACTTCCAAGGGGATTGTGAATACACCCTCATCAGACCCTGCAACAAGGAGGAGAATAGCAGTCTTGTGGACTTCCACCTGTGGAGCAACAACCTGAAGAATAACCCCTCTGATAGAGTGTCCTACATGAGAGGCTTCACTCTGGAGTATAATGGGACGCTGTTCAGTGTGGAGAGTGGGAACGAGGTGTATGTGAACGGAAGGAGACTGTCAGGTTCCCTGTTCAGCTATGGCAGTGATGTCAGGATACAGTGGGACAATCAGTACACGGTAAGTTTGAAGGGTTGAAGTTTATTCCTCGTCAGAATGCTGGTGCTGTCAATTTTGTAGTTTAGCTTACTTGCCACATTTCTGGCAGCTTCTCAACTCTCTTCAGATATCACAGTATCTCAGCTTCTTGTTTTGTACTGTATATTCACTTTATACATTCATTTTCCTAAATTTATAACAAAATCAAGTGTATATCTAAAATCATTTGATCAAAGAAAATGGTAGAGCATTTTGATTCTTTAACATCAAAGCTCATTTTGCGGATTATTTTTGGAAGGAGCTGTCATTCTTATGACTTGCAAGTTTAAGGTTATTACAAACTATGCTCTGAAATACAATATAAAATGAAGACGAGGCCTAATATGAGCTATCACCACAGAAAAGGTCTGTTTTGTTTGTGTATCAATAACAATCACTTTGTCATGTCCATTATCTTTTGGACAGTTCTTGGTGACCTCTTTTGGATTGCAAGTGGTTTATGATGGGAAGCATACAGCAGACATAGATCTGAGCTATGATTACTGGACCAAGACCTGTGGTCTATGTGGTACCTTCGATGGTGATGATAGCAACGAGTACAGACGACTAGACGGGTCTCAGGTAAGGAGAACGTTTTCGTAAAGTTCAACGGGTTGGTGAACTGATAGACAGGAAAGACTTGTCACTGATGGATCATGAGCTTCTTGATGTTCACTACTCAGATACAATTTCAGGACTGTACACCCCTGCAACTCCGCCAGCCCTCTGGAAAACTACTCCTCTAGGATAATTTACTGCTTTGACAATGCCCCAGAATAAATTAATGATATAAATAGAAACTGCCCCAATGAAAACTAGTTCTCTGTACAACTACCACCTGTTATTACCCCCTGCAATTACTCCTAAGACATTTATTCCCTGAGGAGAAAATTACCCTCCAGAGTGATAATCTACATGTTTATTATAACCCCTAGACAGTTGCCCAAGCCAAGGGGTAGTTGCCATAGCAGTTATTTGTCCTGGGGAACAGTTATCCTAGAGATGTGTTATGGGAGTAGCTCTCCAGAGGTGTGATCCAGGGGTTAGTTGTTCTACAGTTCTTTAATACCTGTAACTAATGTTTGTTAGTATGAACATGCGCATGCACATGCATGTACAGGTACATGTACATGTATGTGTATCCAAGTTATTAGTGCAATCCCTGACATTCTTTCACTTGTTTATGTTTCTGTCTGGATGACCACATTAAAGATATGGACTTTCTCATTCCCCCTCCCTCTCACTCACCCTCTCTGTCTGTTCAGACACCATACATGACAGTCTTCATCCAGGATTGGGTCATTAACCCCTCATCCTGCAATGGGGAATCCCCTGAGCCACCTGTGTGTGAAGGAGAAACATATGAGGAAGCTCTCGACCTGTGTTACATATTCAGCTACCCAGATAGTAAGTCTGCCATACGCCTTTAGTGATTTTTACAAATAAATCCAGAAAAATTATACAGTTACATGTATCTGCAGAGGTTCAATGTACAAGACTAGTTTGATCTTGTATTTGAGAAGGGTTGTAAATGCATGAACAGTAATGAGACAATTCACACTGAAGTACCTGGTCTGTGTGTCCGTCATGACACCACTCAAGGATGCCAGTTCTCTGGATTCCCCCCTGCTTCCAGGTCCTGTAACCTCTTTAAAAAATATTTGTTTACTTGTACGTCTAATGTACAGAACAGAATAGCATTCCAATAGTGGATTGTGGGGTCCCTTTTTAGGTTAAATTGGTAAAATCAAATGATATCCCTGACCTGTTCATGAATTCATTATAAAAGTTGGAAAAAACAAGTTCATATTTGCCATGTATCGTGTATCTTTGGTACCGTACCTTTGTGATCATTTCATTCCTTCTGTTATCTGAATTATTTACTGTATACTGCAAGTTGAAATCATTGTTACATATATAATTTATATAAACATTGTGTTTCATATTGTACCGTTAGAAGGAAATAAATGTTAATAAATACAAAACACAAAATACAAATTTTCAAAAAATATTAAATGATAGTACTAGGCACATCTCATTAAATTCTTCGACTAGAATTCATTTCAAATTTTAAACGTAAATAATTTGTCTGTGTCAACAGGTCCTCTGTCTGGGTGCTTCGACTTTGTCTCTCCCCGTGATCTGTACGAGGACTGTGTGTATGATTCCTGTGCCTTGGGTCCTGGGTTTGACGTATGTGATTACATTCAGGAATATGCCTTGATCTGTATGGATGAGGGCATTGACCTTGGAGAGTGGAGGTCAGAGGTGCCTGAGTGTGGTGAGTAGAAAACTTGACTTTTATCCGTTTTCTTCTTTAAAAGCATGTTTTTTGTGCTTTAATATCCCCTTTGGATCCTGCAAATATCACTTAATGTCGGGTTATTTCACTCTTGCATTTTACTCTGATTTCAGTAAGTGCATGTCTTTCTGATTGGCTAATTATGAGTGATTTTAGGCTATTGGTATCTTGCAAGAAGATATTATGACAAATTAAGGGTATTATTAAAACTAATAATCTGATACTAGATCAAGATATATTTAAAAGCTTGTTTTCTACCATTTAATCAATTTCAAGTTTAAATGCAGAAGAATTTGATGCACATATATTAATACAGCATGGATGAAAATTTAAATTTCGCAAATAAATAGAAATAGATGTGGATATCTTTATACAGTTACCTCCCATTTAAGACATTTTGTTTTGTTATATTCCTAGCATGCATTTCCAATAGACTCAAAGTGTTCTCAGACTTAATAGTCATGTCTTCATTACTTTGGTTCATCTATTCTACTTCGTTTCTAGCAATCACCTGTACCGGTGGTAAAGTCTACCAGACAGGAGCGAGCGCATGCCAGCCGACCTGTGGGTTCCAGAACTCTGGACCCTGCACACGCCCCTCCTACGACAGGTGCGTCTGCCCAGAGGGGCTGGTGGAGGACGGGGACCGGTGTGTGGATCCCAACGAGTGTGGGTGCAACTTCTTCTACGGAGGAGAGAACATCCACATGGAGGTGAGATGTGTTGTGACCTTTGAAGTATCATATCTTCAGTTTTGTCAAGAAAATGATGAGTGCGATATCGAGTTCTACTTATTTTTGTATAGAATCGGACATAATATCTGTCATTAAAATAACATTCATGATTGTAAAGTGCATTTAGGATGTATTTTGAAAGTGCACAATGTATGCATAATTATTATATAATTATTCTTGTTATAATTATTTGTATTGTTGTTATTATTGTTGTTATTATTATTATTTTTATTGTTGTTATTATTATTATTTTTATTGTTGGTAGTAATAGTATTATTTATAAAATATTGAACGGTCTTACATGTAGGTGGGATACATTTGTATATCATACACTATGAACATGACTGACAAAGAAAGCGGACAAAATATACAGTTCGTCAGGTAGACAAAGGAACATCCCTTCACTGCTATTATGTAAAAATGTGTAGAACAGGTGTCACATGCATATTCACTTTTTACATAATAGCAGTGAAGGGATGTTCTTTTGTCTACCTGAGGAACTGTATATTTTGTCCGCTTTCTTTGTTCGACATGTTCATAGTGATACAAGCTGAAAAGTGATATGCTGATTTTTCTGGTTTGCTTAATACCTTTCGTACAAATAATGATACTAATTATTTTGATGATGATGATGATGGTGAGGATCACAAAAAAAGATATTATTGCATTATTTTGCCCATGGAACATAAAGGGGCAAAATACAGAGACTATAAGTGAATTTCATCCATGCTGTAGAGGAAAAATCTGATTGTTTTACTTTATATTTTTTCTTTTTTTTAATGTGTAGTCTGGATCGGAATGGATCAGTGATACCTGCGACCGGCGCTGCACCTGTACGGGCATCACTTTGACTTGTACTGACATAGAATGTGGAGAGTTTGAAGAATGTGTCATCAAAGGAGGTGTTAGAGACTGCTTCTGTTTCAATAGATTCACTCGTAATGAAGAAGATATATGTGTCAGAGGTTTGTCTACTTTCTTTTTGTTCTTAAATTAATTTTGGAGAAATTTGCATGGAACCTTGATTTTCATTTTTTAACAACTTAGGATTAGCTATGGTGTTTATTATACCTCTTTACATTATTAGAAGGATTATGATCTTATACTGTATGTAATACTTCTAGTACTTTGTATATTGATCATAATTATTTTTTTTAATAGAAAGAAATATACTTAAGTTCACTTATGCTTTTGCAAAGAAAACTTACATTGTAATCATATTCTGAAATAGCCCAGGATGTGTTTTGCACAAATATTTTCAAGGTTATTAATTTCAAAACGTAAACCCAAATGGATAATTGTGGCAAATAGCAGTGCAAAATCTTAGTTCAAGAATCAGATTTGATGAGATAAGAAAGACAAGACAGTGCATATATATAATGAGACCTTGATATTTTTATCCTTGATGCAGCTCCTGGAGTATGCACTGTTTGGGGTGACCCTCACTATGTCACCTTTGACAACGGTAACCACAACTTCCAAGGAGACTGTGAGTACACCCTGGTCAGACCATGCACTGACCGGATGGACCTCGTCGATTTCCACCTCTGGGGTGACAACGTGAAGAACAATCCCTCCGAGAGGGTTTCTTACCTGCGGAAGATTGTGCTTGAGGTGAACGGCACCAGCATTGCCATCACGAGGAACCGTGAGATCCTAGTGAATGGAGCCAGGAGGATAGCACCTGTTAGGTTGAACAATGGCATCATGATACGTTCGGATAGCTCCTACTCGGTAAGAAGCAGTTGTCTTTATGCAATGAGTATTCTTTTTCAGAGTGAGGTTTCTGCGTGCTGTAAGTTTAATTCATCCTTCTTTCTGAACTATTTAATATGACACATTTATGATGATAGTAATAGTTGTATTTATATACCAGTATATAAATTACTGAGACAACTAATTACTAATTCTCTAGCTGAGCTACCATCTAAGGGAAATAAGTATTAAAAAAATATCTCCCTACAGGTACAAGCACCTTACCAAACGATATATCTTTGCTAAAAATAATGGTGAAGATTAAAAATAGTTTTAAAAAAATGGTGCTATATTAATTTGAGGAGAGACAAAGAGACAATATGTTTGTTATAAAGTCAACTGGTTACATGACAGTTATGAGGTGTTTATTTCTTTAATTTGTTTTATATCCCAGACCATTGAGACTAATTTTGGACTGAATGTGCGGTATGATGGTTCCGAAACTGCCAATATTGAGGTATCTTACGACTACTGGAATGCTACATGTGGACTCTGCGGTACCTTTGATGACGACAGTACCAATGAGTTCAGATTACAAGATGGAAGTCTGGTGAGTAGAGCTTCATGCAGTGATTCCATGAAGTGACATAAGAAATTATTATTTATTCCCTAGCAAGGAAAGCTCTTTTAAGATTATTATTGGCCCTATAATCAATTATATTTGAGATTAATTTTTCACCAATGAGTCCAGCTTAATTTTTTATGATCATTTTGTGGGAAGCAATACATTAAATTACTTATTCTTGACTATTATAGCTTCTAATAAAGTGATGTGCTATACCAAGAGCTGCAGGCTTCTCCCCAAAAATCCTAAGGCTGATGGGGATCATTCTGTTACATTTTATGATAAGAAATGCAGGTTATCATTTCGAAATTCCTGAGGAAAGACATTTACTACTAGGGTGTGCTGTATTTCACTTTGCATTATGATGTGATATTGGTCTTCAGAATGGATTATAAATGATTACATTTAATAGTGAATTTATCTGAATTGTCATGTTCTGATGTAGGCCTAAACCAAATATTTTGACGAACTTTGAAATCCCCAATTCATGTTTCCTCTTTGAAATACATATTTGACTGTGCTTTGTTTATGTGAATGTGCTCTTTTTTTGCTCATGCAGACACCATATGAAAATGTGTTTGGCAATAACTGGGTCCTTGATGCATACGAGTGCGAAACCGGTATAGAAAGACCAGTTGACAGATGTGAGGAAGACTCTGCTATCAAAACGTTGGTGGAAGATATCTGCTACGTCTTTATCAATCCTGAAGGTACAGTATTAAAGATTGTGTGTGGTTGTGTTGACATTGTAGGTATTAACATTTTTTTTATTCAACATAAATTTCATATTCAATGATTCTCTCGTGAATTTATCATTGAAAGGATCAAAATGCCATATTTATCATTCATGTATGTGAACATTATCCCACTTTTTATATTTTTTTCATTGAAGATCTCAACTGGTTAGTGATGCAAAATGAGGGAGTCTCCTTAATTTTTTTTAGTTTGAATATACTTGTAAGCTGGAAGAAGTTTCTCCAGTGAAATGAGGGAGCTAAGCTTAATTTCTATTGTGACTTATCCTTTTAGATCTATCTGTGAATGTAGATTCAATCCAATTAAATTCCAACTAAACTCCTGAAGTGTTGATTTGACTCAATGCAACCCATTCAATTTTAGTCCACCCTGTTTTAGTCACTACATACATGTACCTATCAAAATATATGAGATAATTAATGACCTTCATTGCATGACCTTCAGGACCTCTTGGTGACTGTCTTGACTTTGTGAATGAGGATGCCTACTATGATGCTTGCATCTATGACCTCTGCTATACTGATCCTGGTAATGACATCATTTGCGGAGCCTTGCAGGAGTACGTCCAGCAGTGCAGGGAAGCTAACGGCATCATCGGAAATTGGAGAGAAGGGGTCCTACAGTGTCGTAAGTCAATTTCGTCATACCTCATTTTTACACCATTTAATTGGGAACAGGAACCGGCAAGGCACAACTGTTGTCAATTTTCTTTGAAAAGAGCATGGGATCTAGAAGTCGATGGCATAAGGGGGAAAGGAACACCAAATATTTCATGGAAAGATATGGTTAAGAAAGAAAGCAGTGAGGGCGGTCTAAACAAAGAGATGCTCATGGAAAAAAAGAAGTTGACGGACTGTCAACATGGTGTGAAAGCTAGTAAGCCCCTCGTAAGAGGCAAAATGCATACTTTATTAAATGACGATGAAGATAACGTTTGTACAACAGCTTAAGAATACTCTCTGTGATTCAAAATTAATTAATTATCGTCACTATTTGATCATATTTTCTATTTCATGTCTTTTTTTCTTTTGTTTCCACTGTGGAGTGGGATGTCTCCTTCATAACTCTAGTTCATGCATTTCAATCTTTAGCATCTACATTTAAAGGTTTGGCAGTCTCAGATATATTAAGATGCCTGCATGATTATTAAGTACAATTCATGTTGTCATCTTTCTTATTACCATTCTCTGAATTTTGTATCTACACAAGAGTAGATTCCTAATATTCCATTTTAATCCAGGTCAAAATGAATGAAAGTAGAGAAAGTTCTTTTATAATCAAGCTTTAATAATTAATTCCATTCTTGATGAATTCATCCACCGCAGCTTTTGAGTGTCCCAGCGACAAGACCTACCAGTCATGTGGGAGCGCCTGCCAGCCGAGCTGTGCCGAGCCTGAGGCTGACCTGAACTGCACCCTACCCTGCCATGAGACCTGCAGCTGCCCTGAGGGACAGCTGGATGATGGTGGGCGATGTGTGGAACCAGAGAACTGTGGATGCACTCTTCCAGATGGGAGCTACATATCGGTGAGTGGACGGAACCTTCTACCGAATGAGTCCGAGCAGGGAAGTGTACCGCTACTTCCAAATACGAGCATGGTTGGATAATATCTCTCTCTCATGATGTGATGAAATCTAGGATTTGAACAGAATACAGAAAACTTTATGACCGTATCCTAGATGTAAGGGAGGAATGATGAGAGTATAATTATACAGAAGGACTCCACCTGCTTTGATAGCAGTTTTATGCTTATTTTTTATCAGCGATTACATTACATACATGAATATCTCCACATTTTTATCCTGTATCAAATTTTCTTCAGAATTCGTTGATTTTTTTATTTTTCTGATTTCACTGGAGTCAAATTGTCATCAGAACAGAGTTTTTCTTCAACTATCTTTGAAAGCTTTGAGAGTCCTCTTTGTATGTCTTATTTTGTCAAGAAATTTAATTTTTTTTTTTTTTACCTTGTAATTAATTTATTCAATATTTTGTGACATAATCAAATCATTTATATAAGGTAATATATAATGTATTTCAAGCCTCAATCTAATTCTAATTCAAAGAATGATTGTTCCATGGACCACATTTTTAAAGAACTTCGTGAAGAATACTTTATTATTAGAATAATCTCCACCCAGGTGTTAAATGGGTACCCGGTAGGATGCGGCCGTCATTGTTGGTCAAACTGTTTTTGAGCATCAAGTAACGCCTGGCTGGAATGCTCCCCAGGGAGTGGAGATTGTGCACAGTGTGTGCGGGCAAGAATGGAATCCAATGACTGGGGTAATAGTATATCTGTAAAGCGCTTAGAGACATTTGCATTAAAGATAAAGACCAGTTATGTTCATGCGATTGCACCGTAAGAGAAACGTTGTGGAAGCGATCAGAAAAGGTTGATCGTATACTGCAAGGTTCTGGAATCATCAAATGATAAGAAATTTTGCCCAGTCTTGGTAAAGTTACAAGCACTGTACACAGAAAGATGTATATGGGACTACACGACACGTGCACTATATCTATCAGGTCCAAATAGATATAATAATGTACCAAATATATCAATTAGTAGGCGGTTTTATGGCAAATTTGTATGATCACGTATTAGTCAAAACATACTCTTTCACATGATTGGTAATAAGAGCTTCCATTTCATTTTTTAGAGAGGGGCATTTCCAAAACTGGTCTTTATCTTAAAGCACTATGTAAAAGCGGAGTATTATTAGTATTATTATATTATCCATGTTCTTTGATCTTTGCAGGCTGGGATGATGTGGATCAACGACGACTGCTCTCAATCGTGTAGCTGCACAGGAGGTGTGGCCGAGTGTGTACCTTATGGGTGCAGGGATTATCAGGAGTGTCGACTCAAAGGCAATGTCAGGGATTGCTACTGCATTGACAAGTTTACTTATGATGGTGAACAGTGTGTCAGAGGTCAGTGATATGATTATACTCTACATTAATTAATGGCAGTTTGCCTACAGTTAAAGAGAAGGTTGAGTTCTGGGAAGAGGTGAAAAAAAATTTGTGAGCGTTATCATTGTTATTATGCAAGTATAGAAGAACATCATATTAAAAACGTTCCCTGAAAAGCATGGCTCTTCAATTGCCTTAATATTCTAGATATAGCATGTAACAGCAGAAAAAAAGCGGGACAGATTTTTTCGCCCCATTTTCTTGTATTCCCATATACATCTTTGTTTGTACAAAGCCTGTAACTTTACCAAGACTGGGCCTATTTCTTATCATTTTGAAAATTCCAGAATCTTCCAGTAGACACCAATAATTATATGCCAAATGATCAACCTATTCTGATGGATTCCACAACGTTTCTTTCACAATGCAAGCGCATGACCAGAACTCAACTTTATCTTTAACACTCTTCTGCTTGGCAGTTGTTCAGCATATGGGGCATTCTGTTTTGTTACTGCTACTTTTGTCTATCTTGTCTCTCCAGCATTTAAAAGATATGAATAAAGGTTCAATCTTTCCACAAATCTTACACCATAATTGAACTTGAGACTTTCCTTTGCAATTTAGTGGCAATTTTCACATTCTAGTCACCAGTCTGATATAGGGGTATACACATACATGTATGTGCCTTGCATGCGATCAAAATTTGTATTACTGTATGTGTGTGAGAATTTGATTAGAAAATGGTTTTATGATAGTTTTCGTTGTCAACTTCTTTTGCACGTTCGAGCCTTAATATTTATCATTTCTTTTCATACTCTTCAATAATAACAAACAACTTGCATTACTGTACTTTGAATACTTGGGTTTTAAATAATTCATATATCTAAGAATTAATTTACATATATTTGAGTCAGAATTGTGCCTCTAATTCTTCTGTAAGTTCACATCTGTCTTAATATGCTTTGGCAAGAAAACTTACATTGTAATCATATTCTGAAATAACCCAGACTGTCAAGGTTTTGCACAAAAATTTTCATGGTTATTAATTTTGAAACGTAATCCCAAATTGATAATCGTGGCAAATAGCAGTGCAAAATCTTATTTCAAGCATCAAGTGTGATGAAATTAAGAAATACAAACCAGTGCAGAGATATTATGAGACCTTCATATTTTTTCTTCTTTGATGCAGCTCCTGGAGTATGCACTGTTTGGGGTGACCCTCACTACGTCACCTTTGACAACGTTAACTACAACTTCCAAGGAGACTGTGAGTACACCCTGGTAAGACCATGCACTGATCGTACGGACCTCGTCGACTTTCACCTCTGGGGTGACAACGTGAAGAACAAGCCCTCCGAGGGGGTTTCCTACTTGCGGAAGATTGTGCTTGAGGTGAACGGCACCAGCATTGCCATCACGAGGAACCGTGAGATCCTAGTGAATGGAGCCAGGAGGATAGCGCCCATCAGGATGAACAATGGCATCATGATACGTTCGGATAGCTCCTATTCGGTAAGAAGCATCTGTCTTTATGCAATGAGTATATTATTTCAGAGTGAGGTTACTGCGTACTGTAAGTTTAATTTATCCTTCTTTCTGAACTATTCAGTATGACACAATCATGATTATGGTAATAGTTGTATTCATATATAAAGCACTGGGACAAAGTAATTACTCATTCTCTAGCTGAGCTACCATCTTAGGGACCTAACTATTCAATATATATCTCCCTACAGGTACAAGCACCTTATCAAATGATCATATCTTTGTAAAAAAATAAAACATTAAAAATAGTTAAGCAAAGTTGTGCTTATTTACTTAAGGAGAGACAAAGAGACAATATGTTATTATAAAGTTAACTAGTTAAATGACAGTTATTTATAATATGAGGTGTTTATTTCTTAATTTGTTGTATCCTAGACCATTGAGACTAATTTTGGACTGAATGTGCGGTATGATGGTTCCGAAACTGCTAATATTGAGGTATCCTACAACTACTGGAATGCTACTTGTGGACTCTGTGGAACCTTTGATGATGACAAGACCAATGAGTTCAGATTACAAGATGGCAGTCTGGTGAGTAGAGCTTTGTAAATACATGAAAATGACATAAGAAATTAAATTATTTATTCCCTAGCAAGGAAAACTCTTTAAGATAACTTTTGGCCCTATAATCAATAATATTTGAGGTTAATTTTTCACCAATCAGTCTAGCTTAATTTCTTATGATCATTTTGTGACAAGCAATACCATAAGTTACTCATTATTGACTGTCATATAGCTTCTAATGAACTTTTAGTAATGTGCTATACCAAGAGCTGCAGGCTTTCTCCCCAAAATCCTAATGCTGTTGGGGATCATTCTGTTTATGATAAGAAATGCGGTTAAAGGTAAAGACCAGTTATGGTCATGCGATTGCATTGTGAAAGAAACGTTGTGGAATCGATCAGAAAAGGTTGATCATCTAGCATCTAGCATCTGCAAGGTTCTGGAATCATCAAAATGATAAGAAATTTGGCCCATTATTCGTAAAGTTACAAGCACTATACACAGAAAGATGTATATGGGACTACCCTATATCTCTCACAGGCCATGAGAGAAACAAATTTACCAAATATATGAATTAGTAGGCGGTTTCCTGGCAAATTTTTTATCATCATGTATTAGTCAAAACATATTCTTTCACATGATTGGTAAAGAGAGCTTCCATTTCATTTTTTGAAATTGGGGCGTTTCCAATACTGGTCTTTACCTTTAATCATTTCAAAATTCCTGAGGAAAGACTTTTACTACTAGTGTGCTGTCTTTCACTTTGCATTATGATGTGATATTGGTCTTCAGAATGGATTATAAATAATTACATTTAATAGTGAATTTATCTGAATTGTCATGTTCTGATGTAGGCCTAAACCAAATATTTTGACGAACTTTGAAATCCCCAATTCATGTTTCCTCTTTGAAATACATATTTGACTGTGCTTTGTTTATGTGAATGTGCTCTTTTTTTGCTCATGCAGACACCATATGAAAATGTGTTTGGCAATAACTGGGTCCTTGATGCATACGAGTGCGAAACCGGTATAGAAAGACCAGTTGACAGATGTGAGGAAGACTCTGCTATCAAAACGTTGGTGGAAGATATCTGCTACGTCTTTATCAATCCTGAAGGTACAGTATTAAAGATTGTGTGTGGTTGTGTTGACATAGTAGGCATTAACAGTTTTTATGCCTCCGTTACGAAGTAGCCGGAGGCATTATGTTTTCGGGTTGTCCGTCCGTCCGTACGTCCGTACGTCCGTACGTCCGTACGTACGTACGTACGTCTGTACGTACATACGTCCCGTTCTCGTGATCGCGTTATCTGAAGAACTGGTTGATGGATTCGTGCCAAACTTTGGTCATGTATGTATCTTGTAGAGCCGATGAACTGATTAGATTTTGGGGTTACGAGGTCAAAGGTCAAAGGTCACAGGGCTCATTATGTATGCAAAACGAGCTCGTGATCGCGTTATCTGAAGAACTGGTTGATGGATTCCTGCCAAACTTTGGTCATGTATGTATCTTGTAGAGCCGATGAACTGATTAGATTTTGGGGTCACGAGGTCAAAGGTCAAAGGTCACAGGGCTCATTATGTATGCAAAACGAGCTCGTGATCGCGTTATCTGAAGAACTGATTGATGGATTGCTGCCAAACTTAGGTCATGTATGTTACTTGCAAAGCCGAAAAACTGATTAGATTTTGAGGTCACGAGGTCAAAGGTCAAAGGCCACAGGGCTCACTATGTATGCAAAACGAGCTTGTGATCGCGTTATCTGAAGAAACCGATTGATGGATTGCTGCCAAACTTAGGTCATGTATGTTACTTGCAGAGCCGATGAACTGATTAGATGTAGGGGTCACAAGGTCAAAGGTCAAAGGCCACAGGGCACATTATGTATGCAAAAACAGCTCGTGATCGCGTTATCTCAAGAACCGATTGATGGATTCCTGCCAACTTAGGTCATGTATGTTTCTTGCAGAGCCAATGAACTGAGTAGATTCTTGGTTCATAAGGTCAAAGGTCATGGGCTCATTATGTATGCAAAAATAGCTTGTAATCACAATATTCTGAGAACCTGTTAATGGATTACAATTGAACTTGAATTCGAAAAATTTCTTCTGTTTTGGTTTGTAAAATTGCTCTATGACGGAGGCATCATTTTCGACTGCGCGCAGTCGAAGTTCCATCTAGTTCAATCAAATGTTGTGATGTTCAATGATTCTCTTGTGAATTATTTTTGGAAAGGATCTTCATTCATATATGTGTAATTAAACCTTGTGTCTACTTCGGTGTCAACTCTTTTTCTTATGGTCATCGCTCTTTTAGCAAAGCTTCTGCTGAGCTTTGTAACAAATCATCTTTACATGTCAAAAACTGTCAGACTGTCAACCAATTCAAATCTTGTCTTAAGACACATTTATTCAAAATTATAAAATTATATTACATTATCCCACTTTTCATTTTTTGTATTGAAGATCTCAACAGGTTAGTGATGCAAAATGAAGTAGGCTCCTAAAAATCATGAAAGAATAGCTTCTTTAAAGTTTGGATATAAGCTGGAAGAAGTTTCTCCAGCGGGATGAGGGAGCTAAGCTTTAGTTCTATTATGACTAATCCTTTTAGATCTATCCTTGAATGTAGATTCAATCCAATTAAATTTCAGCTAAACTCCTTACATTTGATTTCTAGCTAAATCCTGAACTGTTGATTTGATTCAATCCAACTCATTCGATTTTTGTCCACCCTGTATTTGTCACTACATACATACATGTACATGCACCATCAAAATATTCACGATAATCAATGTTGCATAAACACTCTGTTTTCTTCAGGACCTCTTGGTGACTGTCTTGAATTTGTGAATGAGGATGCCTACTATGATGCTTGTATCTATGACCTCTGCTACACTGATCCTGGTAATGACATAATTTGCGGAGCCTTGCAGGAGTACGTCCAACAGTGCAGGGAAGCTAACGGCATCATCGGAAATTGGAGAGAAGGGGTCCTACAGTGTCGTAAGTCTAATTGTGTCATACCTCAGTTTTTATATCATTTAATTGGGAACAGAAACCAGCAAGGAACAATTGTTGTCACTTTTCTTTGAAAAGAGCATGGGATCTGGAAGTTGATGGCATAAGGGGGAAAGGAAGACCGAATATTTCATGGAAAGATATGGTTAAGAAAGAAAGCAGAAAGAGGTTGGTCTAAATGAAAAAAAAATAAGTTGAGGGAGTGTCATCATGGTGTGAAAGTCAGTAACCCCTCTTTAACCCTTTGAGTGCGAGCCCGCGAACGGCGATTGTTTCCCCTGTGACGGAGCGATTTCGGTTACATCACCTGTTATGGAAAATTTGGCGGTGCTTTCTACTTTCATTGCCCATTGCGCCTCATTCAGTCATTTTCGTGATTTTTAGTAAATTTAAAAATGAAAGATCAGACTTTTTCCTTTCTAAAAATATAAGTTTTGTTTGTCAATACAAAAAAATAAGGTCTGTTATTTTTGAGGGGAATTGCCGTCTTATTTTGCTGAAGCTTCACGTCTTTCCTTTTCAATACACTCACAATACAAATTGCGTAAGCACCTCCGCACGCGCAGATCGGTCGATACCTCCTTTCATTTCACCATTGTCAATGATTGTCGTCTGCTAAAGCTCGGCCGATTAGCAACTGAGCCATAAATAATAGGCCTAAGCCTTTGTTTTACATGGGTTTTCGACACATTTTATTCTGACCAACATTATGCCATGATCTACACTAAATGCCCATTTTTTTTAATGTGCAAATCAAATATAGGACTATTTGGGAAATGAATTTTGAGATGAACAGTGTTTTCATAATCATCATCATTTCATGTATACATTGTTTTATTCTCGAAAACAAAAATAATATTTACTTTGAATGCTTTCGACTTCGTTTCTCATAATTTGAAATATTCATTTTGTTTTAGTTCTTGCCTCCAGCTTAATTTTGTTTATTATTTCCCTATCTATACATCTCTTAGAACCCTATTTTGATATGAGGTTGCTGTATATTTATTCTGTCTCAGATGTATTAAGATACCTGTATGACTATCGAATTGAACCCATGTTGTCATCTATCTTATGACCCTTCTCTGATGTTTTATCTACACAAGAATAGCTTCCTAACATTCAATTTCAATCCTGGGGGGCGTTTCACAAAACTTGTCATCAATGACAAATTACAGTTTTTGTTATAAGCTACTGAAATCTTTGCTTCTGATTGGTTATCAACAGATTTGACACTGATTTTTTCCATTGGTCATTGGTCAAAAAGGCTTTGTGAAACTGGTCCCAGGTCAACATGAAAGTAGAGAAAGTTCTTTTATAATCAAGCTTTAATAATTAATTGCATCCTTGAATTCATCCACTGCAGCTTTTGAGTGTCCCAGCGACAAGACCTACCAACCATGTGGGAGCGCCTGCCAGCCGAGCTGTGCCGAGCCTGAGGCTGAACTGAACTGCACCCTGCCCTGCCATGAGACCTGCAGCTGCCCTGAGGGACAGCTGGATGATGGTGGGCAATGTGTGGAACCAGAGAACTGTGGATGCACTCTCCCAGATGGGAGCTACATATCGGTGAGTACATGGAGCCTTCTATCTTCTATCCAAATACGAGCATGGTTGGATAATATCTCTCTTTCATGATGTGATGAAATCTGTGATTTGAACAAAAAACAAGAAAAAACTGTATGATCGTATCCTAGATGTATTACAGGGAGGAATGATGAGAGTATAATTATAGAGAAGAATTCCACCTTGGGATCCAGTTTGCTACGATAGCAGTTTAACGTTATTTGTGATCAGTGATTACGTTATATATATCTTCACTTTTCTATCCTGTATCAAATTTTCTTCAGGAATCGTTGATAAGTTTTTTTTATTTTTCTGATTTCACTGGGGTCAAATTGTCATCACAACAGAGTTTTTTCTTCAACTATCTTTGAAAACTTTGAGGGTTCTCTTGGTATGTCTTATTTTATCAACAAATTTAATTCATATTTTTAATAAACCTTGTAATGAATTCATTCATTTTTGTGTGTGACATAAACAATTAATTCATATAAGGTAAAATATAATGTATTTGTAGCCTCAATCTTCAATTCAATCCAAAGAATGGTTGTTCCAACATTTTAAAACAATCTTATAAGAATACTTTATTATTAGAATAAATCAACTCATCCATGGTCTTTGATCTTTGCAGGCTGGGATGATGTGGATCAACGATGACTGCTCTCAATCGTGTAGCTGCACAGGGGGTGTGGCCGAGTGTGTAGCTTATGGATGCAGGGAATATCAGGAGTGTCGACTCAAAGGCAATGTCAGGGATTGCTACTGCCTTGACAAGTTTACTTATGATGGCGAACAGTGTGTCAGAGGTCAGTGATAAAATCATATTTTACATTAAAGGTAATACAAGTTTGGGGAAATTGAAATTGGCTGGATAGTGATTCTTTACAATTTTGATATATTTTGATGCCCCTGTGGATGTATTATAAACACTAAAAAGTTTAGCCCCTAAAACACTTCTGCTTTTGAGAAAAATTGAATATGAAATTCACAGGCGCTCCCGGTAAATTTTGATGAATTTCAAATAGCGCCTACGGCCATACAATGGTAGCTGCGACCATGAATCTCAGAATGTCGTTGTGATATATAATTTCCAAACGGGAATAGCTAATTGGTTGATTGTAGTCAACATTGTTTTATAGCTTAATTAATATCTTGACCTTGAGAGGGAGCTATTCAACATAAAGAGTTTATTATTTACAATTTACAAGCGCATAGCTTTAGACTCTATTTAACTGCAATAACGATCACTGAATATTGTAGGATCATATATGCCTCCAATGTGTTCATTTGAACCAAATTCATGACCCCGTACCAAACCTTTGTATCACCTTCAATTAACAGCAGTTTGCCTACAGTTAACACTCTTCTGCTTGACAGTCATTCAGTATAAGAGGCATTCTGTGTTGTTGATGCTACTTTTGTCTTTCTTGTCTCTCCAGCATTTATAAGATGTGAATAAAGGTTAATCTTTCCAAAATCTTACACCATAATTGAACTTGAGATTTCCTTTGCAATTCAGTGGCAAGTTTCGAATTCCAGTCACAGATAGTTCATATTATTGTACACAAGTAGATCTGTGCTTGTATGTTTTGCTTTGCATGCAATCAAAATTTGTATTACCGTATGTGTGTGAGAATTTTAATAGAAAATTGTCTCATGAAATATTTGTTGTCAACTTCTTTTGCAAGTACTAGCCTTATCATTTCTTGTCATACTGTTCATTAAAACAAAAAACTTGCATTACTGTACTGAGGATACTTTGGTTTTCAATAATTCAAATGTCTAAGAATTAATTTACATATATATTTTAGTCAAAATTTTGCCTCTTATTCATCACCAACAGAGCCTGGCACGTGCACAATTTGGGGAGATCCCCATTACATCACCTTTGACAATGTCAAGTACGACTTCCAGGGTGACTGTGAGTATACCCTAGTCAGGCCGTGCTCCAACCAGCCTGGAATGGTCGATTTTCACATCTGGGGGACAATGTCAAGGATGTCCCCTCCAGCACGGTGTCCCTCATGAGGCATATTAGCCTGGAGGTCAATGGAACTGTCTACTCGGTATCCAGGGGCAACATCATCTATCGGAATGGGGAGCGCAGGAACTCGCCCGTGATAGACTCCAATGGTGTGCTTATTAGGTCGGGTGTCAAATATACTGTGAGTAAAATCTTAGTATATTCAATTACCTTTATTAAAGATAAATAAGGAAAAATTTGGTCTGTTAATAGATCTGTTAATAGAAATCTATGATATTGATTCATTAAAAATGAATTATTTTGTAGGATTGGCAAGGTTATTTTTACCATATGGAAAACATCTCCCCAAAAAGTTATGATTATCTGTAACAAAAAAACTCTTGCCTAACAAACATAAACGTTTAACCAGGTGTCAGATATGTTGTGCACATGATAACGATTCTTTGGAAGGGGATGAGGATAGGTACAGGTACTTTTAAGAAATTGGTACATTTTCGTGACTAAATTTCTTTAAGATGTCCTGCTTTGGTCCCTCTTCAAGAGGCTCTTGATATCAATTCTGTTTTCTCTTACAGACGATTCAGACCTACTTTGGGGTAAGCATTCGCTATGATGGCGAAGACACTGCCCACATACAGGTGCCTTTTGAGTACTGGAATGCCACGTGTGGTCTGTGTGGAACCTTTGATGACGATAGAGACAATGATTTCAGACTTCCTGACGGCACTAAAGTGAGTGATTGTAGAATTCTTTAATAGAATGGGACTCATTTTTTTGGAAATTGGACTTGTTTCTTGGAATAGGAAGAATGTTGTGAACTATATCAATCAATTCCTACTAAAATGTACCATGTAAAAATGTAAGATGTTATTAGAAATGGGAAATGGCAGGTCAATGTATGCAAGGAATGTATTAGTTGATTCAGTTTTGCGACACATGCTCTGGTGACAATTGTTCTATGATCAATATCCTACACTCCCCAAATACTCACTTTCAACTCTGAACCAAACACTATTTATGTATCTTACCTAACCCTATACCTATTCTAAAACCCAATTTCAATCCTTACGCTAACTTAAAACTTTGAGGAATAAAGTTTTGAGCAATTGTTGCTTGAGCATATGCCAATTCACCAATAATTCTGAGGGTGAATCTATTATGTTTGAACTATTGGCAGTTTGTCTTTTTATGAATGGTATAACTTAGATTTTATGATGTATAGTTTGTCCATTTTGAGCATGCAAAAGGGACCCAAATGAAAATTTATATGTCATGAAATCTCACCTTGATGTATGTTTGTAAATTCGGCGGCACCATATTCATGTATTTTAGATGATCGATGGTTGATTTACCGTTATATTTTGTTTGTAGACCGAGTATGTGAATGTGTTTGGGAACAGCTGGGTGCAGAATGCGGGTGAATGTGACACCACAATCACCGATCCTATTGATCAATGTGAGGATGATGAGGAGCTCGACCAAGAAATCAGAGATATTTGCTACATTTTCATTGATCCGGATGGTGAGTTAAAATATAATGTTAACCCCATTTTCTACTTGAACCATGTTGGTCACGTACTGGATGAAGTGTAGGGAAATTAGAGAAGTTTGTAGTCAATAGGATAATTTATTAAATGGGTTCAAGAAAGTAGCCAATTATGAGAAGCGTCAATATAGATCATTTGTGCGTGCATTAATTTTTACCATATGCACAGGGAGTGCTTTTTGGTGATAACAACCGTCAATTTCTCAACTTTATATACTCTTATTGTAGACCCATCTTATAAAACAAATACTTCATGTTTTAGCTTGTGTATTAGTGATATGCACTGCACTTGGTCAAGTCACAATGAACTTGACAAGTCTTGTTCATTATCCTACTGTGACTTAACCCCCGACTTTCAAATTTTTCCGGTGGAAAAAAAGGTGCGTCTTATACACAGAGGTTTACGGTATAGTTGATCTTCCAATTTCTTTTGCAGGTCCTCTTGGGAACTGCTTTGACTATGTGGATCCCAAGGATTACTACGAGGCCTGCATCTATGACCTGTGCCACACTGATCCTGGCAGTGACATCATCTGTCCTGCACTCCAGGAGTATGCCCAACAGTGCAGGGAAGCTAATGGTCTCGTAGGACTCTGGAGAGCTGCAAGGCCTCAGTGTGGTGAGTCTTGTGTTCATGGATTAAGATTTAGTAATGTTTACGGTTTGTGGATCCTTTATGATTATTATCAAACTTTAACGGTCTGAATTGAATGTCATCGTAAGAAATAGGTGCAACTGTTATGTCAATTAGTAAGTTTATACAAAGTTCATATTAGTTTTGAAGTTTGAATTGCTGGAATCCATTGTAACAAGTAGTTCCCTTATCAGTGAATCTCAACTTATAGGTGGGGATGATGATTTCCAAAGCACTTTGAAAGTATAAAGAAATATGTACCACATGTATTATATAGGGACAGTATGCTACATGTACACTTGTTACTACATAGGAATTCAGTCTGGACAAATTTTCATTGTAATCAAAGAAGACCCAAACATTGAAAAATGCTCTTATACACCTCTGTTGTTTTAAAGCTTTTGAGTGCCCAAGTGATAGACTCTACGAGCTGTGTGGGAGTGCCTGTCACCCAAGCTGTGCGGAGCCTGAGGCTGCTATCAGCTGTAGTCTGCCATGCCAAGAGACTTGTACCTGTCGTGATGGAAAGCTGGATGATCGAGGACAATGTGTGGAACCATCAGAATGTGGATGCTTGGTTGCTGATGGAGTCTACATCTCAGTACGTCAGATTTAACTCATGCTATTTATGCAGGGAATTTTCTCATATTCTATTTAGTCTGTGTCTCTCCTGAGACTTCACTATATGCAGTATGTTAAGCTTAATAAACTCTGCAGTACCGATTATATGCAATATGGTTTTTAACTTATCAGTGCATTTTATTTCCTCCATTTTAATAAAATCACAAATAATATGAACAAGCATATAAATATAAACTGGAAAATAAAAAAATAAGCAATACAAGCCAATCTTTCTTAAATGTCTATTAATCCTACTTTGCTCCTCATCTAAAGAAGGCCACTTTTCAATTTGCCATTTCGATTCAAGTTCAGTTGTACTTAAATAAATGTATGTTAGTTATACCAAGCTGTGGTCAATTACTCATGACATTTGTCATGAAAATTCATCTTTAGCATCTATTTTTTAAAAAACCCTTTCAATGCCAAAAGGCAGTTCAATCTGAATTTTTTTCTGATATTGTATCAGGTGATCTTACATTTGTTGTAAGTAAAAATAAAAGTTCTTCTGGAAATTTAGATCGGGTTCATTTATTGTATAATTAGGTATCATCATATCATCATAAAAAAATCATTATTGTGATATATATTTGTAAACTTGTTGTCACCTTAAGGGTTAACATAATTATATGTATTCAGTCATTTCACACTTGATCTGTTGTTCTCTCTCTATTCAAGCCTACAGATACTTGGACAAGTCCTGACTGCAGCCAGCGATGCACCTGCTTTAATGGAGAGGCTCAGTGTGAAGCCTACGGATGTGGGGAGAATGAAGAATGTGATCTCAGGAACGGTGTGCAAGATTGTTACTGCCTTGATGGATTCCTCCCACTCGGAGAGAGATGTGTTAGGGGTAAGCATGATTGTGAACTCGAATTTGAACCAGAACTTGAACTGAAGATAAGCATCCTTCAAACGAAATAGTTTCACAAAAATAAATTACAAAGTGACTTGATATTGCGTAAGGATTGAACAGGGAATAACAGATGTTGAAAATATTAAAAATATGTTAGGAATATCTTTCAAGGAAAAGACCTCCTAATGCAGACATGTATTAATCTCAATTGTGAAATGCAGTGTCCTGGTGAAGAAGATATGAATAAAGCAATGGCAGAATTATTGGCTCATTGTGAATACTATGTATGTGGGGAGAACAAGGATATGAATTATGCATTGCACCATCTCCCCTGATGCACACATAAGGAAGGATCCCAAACTTGAGGCTGCAAAACGGTTGTATTTTCCTTTGAAGTAAATGCATGCTCAAAACTCATATTTGTTTTTTTCTCAATACCAGCTCCCGGTTTCTGCCAGATCTGGGGTGACCCTCATTATGTGACCTTTGACGATAAGAAATATAACTTCCGGGTGATTGTGACTACACACTGGTCAGAGATTGCCAGAATTCCAGTGAATATCACCTGTGGTCCAACAATGAACGGCTGCGCCCATCAGATAGGGTTTCCTACCTTAGAGAGGTTATTCTGGAATTGAAAGGCAACATATACTCCCTTATCAAGGGCTTCCATGTCAGAGTTAATGGCATTGATGTATCTGAGAACCTGCCCTACATGGATAGTGAAGTGTGGATCTACAGGGATGTAACCTCAATGGTATGTACATATGATACAGACATGATCAGTTGTGTAGAGACCCTCATAATTATATATACGTAAATACACTATATAGTATATGTTTCATTTATGTATCAGGAATTGCATGTAGATACATACGTTTTATACTGATTAAATGCATGTTTTATTAGCAATGAAACTAACAACATTAAGTTCTTGTTTTTTTATCTAAAGACAAGTTTTTATGTTTACAGGTTAAAGAACGTTTGGGTTTGTTTCTCTTTGTAGAATCTGGTAACAGATTTCTTATGGTTAGCTATGATGGACAGGACAGTGCTAATGTGTACCTCGGCTACAATGCAGGAAGAACTTGTGGCCTGTGTGGATCCTTTGATGGAGACCGGACCAATGACCTCATGCTGCCTTCAGGAGAAATGGTAAGCTTCGCCTAAAGGACCACACATCTATTTCAATCAATGTTCAGAATTGATGATGGCAAAGTGAACTTGACAAAAATGGTACGATGGGTATTTTTCATCTTCTTATTCTTCAATCACTCCACAACACCCATTCTGTACAGGAGAAGGGATCTAGCTGCAGGGTTGAATCTATTTGGATGTTCAGGTGTTCTGGTAGGTGGGGTCAGAAAGTTAGCCTCTGTCAGTTCCTCCTACAGTCACATATACAAGTAGTTTGTCCATCCTCATTATAATCCATTTCAGCATATGAACTTCCCTTTGTCAAGTTCCTGTTTTAGACGATCGAGACTGATAAAGGGTATTATGGAGCAGAGGAAACACTTAAATATTCAAATAAATGCTTCTATGGCATCGTTGATGATGGAAAATAATTTCCCTCTTTTTTCAGGCAAGATCAGTAACTGAGTTTGGAAACAGCTGGGTTGTGAATCCCGACCAATGTGATGATGTGGATCCAGGTCCAACTGATCCTTGTGACAATGGAGTGACCAGCCTGAGGATGCTGTTGATCTTTGCTACTACCTTAAGGATCCTCTTGGTATGAGTGTAATGTTATAAAATGACTTTAAAGAAAAATTATTCATACGCTAACTTGTAATCTTTAATATTTTAAAATGAAATATGAACTTTTAACTGACGGAAACATGATTTGGGTGTTGCAGATATATTCTTAGGCTCGCGATTCAACAGGGTAATATTGGCTTTCTTGAACACTGTGGCAATAAACATTGATACCAAGATCCAAAGCTTGTCTTTCTAGTTGATGTACCCATTTGCAGTAACAGCTGAATTATGTTTTTCATGTCTTTGAGTCAATCAATATTTAAAGGCTTTGTTGTTGGGGGTAGATAGTAGTCTATCTTGGTATTTTCACGTACGTGTACATCGCATGAAAGATAACTGATCCGTGTTAGTTAGAAGTTGATGTTGATGGCATAGTGACGATCATTGCTGTTGTGTTTCAGGACCCTTTGCATCCTGCCACAGTTATGTTGACCCTGATGACCACTATGATTCATGTCTGTATGATGTATGTGAGATGGGTGATGATGCCCTGTGTGCGAGTCTAGAACAGTACGCCCAGGCCTGCAAGAGCAAGGGAGGGAACCCTGGAACCTGGAGAGTGCATGTACCGGAATGCCGTAAGTAAAATTATTTTAATGGTATAGACCAGTTTTGGAAACGCCCCCCTCTCAAAAAATGAAATGGAAGCTCTTATTACCAATCATGTGAAAGAATATGTTTTTACTATTACGTGATGATACAAATTTTGCAGGAAACTGCCTACTAATTGATATATTTTGGCAAATCATCTATCCGGACTGGATAGATATCGCGTAGTCCAATATACATCTTTCTGTGTACAGTGCTTGTAACTTTACCAAGAGTGGGCCAAATCTCTTATCATTTTGATGATTCCAGAACCTTGCAGTACACACAAATACTTATATGCTAGATGATCAACCTTTCTGATCGATTCCACACCGTTTCTTTAACAATGCAATCGCATGACCAGAACTGGTCTATACCTTTAACCCAGGAAGTGGGTGGCTCCTGGACAAAGACCTATGGGAATAAAAACACTCAGTAGTCAATGTGTTAAATCAAATATATTTTGTTAATCAAATGTTATTTATTAATGGGTGGCTCCCTTATTGAAGCCTATGGGAATAAAAGAATTTGGTAGGCAATAACTGAAAACAAGTCCCTTTATATTTTTATTTTCACCTCTTGGTATTTAAAGGTAGAATAACCTACGCTATTCTGCAGCTGCAGGTTTCCTGATCATTTTTGTGTATCACATTGCCTATAGTGTAGCTAGATTATTGGCGATTGCATTGCTATTCACAGCCCCACTTTGAGGGTCCAGTATGAATTTTAAACGCCACATCTATCCTGTCAACCACTATGATATAGGAAGTAGAAAACAGTGACAGTCATTAAGGCAGTAACACAGAAACAAATGTATGTTATCTTATGGTGAACATCATATAAGCATTGAATTCGTTACCTATGCTTTAAATGTCTATAATTTCATACAGCATTGGACTGTCCTTCCAACACTGTGTACGACCCCTGCTTCAGTGGCTGTCCAGCACCTGTTCCTCTGCGCGAGCACATTGTCCTGCAATACCACTTGCCAGGAAACATGTAGATGTGCAGATGGTCTTGTACTGGATGGTGGGCACTGTGTGGATCCATCACAGTGTGGTTGCACCTCTGGATAGTGGTGTTTATATTCCGTAAGTTTGAAATCGAGCGCTGAAGTACCTACCAGTATGTAAATTTT